TTCTATTTTTATTTCTTCAGTTTTGTCTTCTATGTTCCATTATGATTAGTTCCGTTCAATTTTGTTCTAGTTTTTTTTATCTTATTTTGTGATGAGGCTTTATCTTATTGTGGATTAGAAGGATCTTGGATTTTTGAGATAGTCTAGTCATGTTTCAGCATGCTTATGTGTTCATCAAGCTTATCACGACTTACTAGGAGTCGGATATTTTTTATACAATAAGACTTTGAAGCTAATATCCAAAGATTTTTAGTGGCTTTAAATGTGGAAGATAGTCAAAACTTTATATAATCATATAATTTTTGTTCAAGATTAAAAACTCATCATTGTCCTTATAAAAATTTTCAATTAGTATTTATTCTAGAACAATCATAGTCTTTTGTCTTTATGGATTTTATCACAGATCTTTCAATCTTAGATTCTTATGATTTAATATTGGTCATAATAGATTATTTTATGAAGAAGGCATATTTTTTTATAATATACAAAATCTATCATAAGTAAAGAAATAACTAAGCTTTTTATTAACAACATTTATTTTATTATAGATTATCCAAGAATATTATATTAAATAAAAAGAATCAATTTTTATCAAGATTTTAGAGGATTATTTTTAATATTCTAATAATAGAAATAAAACTATCTTTGGCTTTTTATTCTCAAATTGATGGACAAACAAAGTATATAAATCAAATTTTGAAGTAATATTTTATATATATCATCAATTATTAACAAAATGATTTGATAATTTTTTTACCATTGATAGAATTTACTTATATTAACATGGTATATTTTTCTATATTATAGATATTTTTCATTAATTAAAATATCATTCATGACTTAATGCTTTTGATATTTTAAAAGTTGATAATCTTATGGTAGAAGATTTGGCAAATTGTTTATTCGAGGTACATACAACATAAAAGGCACAATCATATGAAATTTAAGAAAGAAAAAAAACCAACATGGATGCCTAACACAAAGAGCAACCTTAATTCTACATTAACGACAAGATATAGTTACTTTATTATAATATTAAGATTAGTTGCCTTTATTATAAGTTGAAATATCATAGACTTGAACCATTTCTTATATATAAATAAATAAATTATGTTGCTTATTGATTACATCTATTGGAGTATATAAAGATTCACTTTGTATTTCACATGTTTCTTTTTGAACCATATAAGACAATGAATATCTTGGAAAGAAGACAAATATCACTTCTCCTTGTAGAAATAGACAATAATTAAAAATATGAGGTCAAAGAAGTCTTAGACTTATGACAGAGCTAAAATAGATTGAAATATCTTATTTATTGATATAAATATGATACTAATTAACATACATAGAATCTTACCAAAAAATGTACAAATACAACAAAAAAAAGTTGATATTTTTTATTGACAACATCTATCAAAACCAAGATGAAAAATATCAAATCTTTGCTATAAAAGAAACAAAATCTAAGAAAGATTATATTTTATTTTCTATCTATGTTTTTAATTTTTTATATTTATGACATTAAGAAGAGTGAGAATCAACAACCAATAGATTCAACTCAAGAGTTATCATTTATTGATTTATTACACAAGACATTGTAATTTTCACAACATTTAAGTTGACATAATAGAAATGAAGATCCTTAAGAATAATATTTTTTCTTTGAATAGATGGAAAAATGCAACACATTTGGTATCATGACCTTAGAACAGACTCCTAATGTTTGGTGACTTTATTAAAAATAAGAACGACTTTTGATGGTGTTTTAAATATTTTTTAATTTAAAATAAATTACAAAGGTTTTAACAAAGATCAAATAATAAGGTGTTCTTCTTACCTTGGTATGCAATACTATTAATGACTGAAAAGATCTATCAACTACTTTTAAAGAGAATAAAGATCAAAGTATGTGCCAAATATAATTTATATATCTTAGAATTTTTCAACATATGATGATTACTCATTGTAGAACTCATTCCTAAAAGAAAGAAAGGAAGAAGAATAATATCACAGACATATATATTTATATAAATAAGATGTCTTAGATAGAAGGTAAATTTAGGTAGATTTGATATTATCTTATAGCGAAGCTTCTTAAAAACTTTATAAATACATATTTGATTTTATACATATTTATAATTGATTTATAGATTATAAACTTAGTCAATAAGTTAATTATGTATTGTATGTATTAATAGTTTGTTATACAAGCTAATAATATGGTACACATATAGGAAACTTGCCTTGCAAGTTAAAATATGTATCTTCTAAATTGGATACATCTTGAAGGTCTTGTAGAATATTGTTATATAGCTCTTAATTAGATAGTATATATGGAGGTAAGACTAAAGCTTTCTTCATTCTTATCATTGCCTTTTTATTCTTTTTATCGTTGATAATAATCATTCTAATTTAATATTATATCATCTTTGAATAATTCTTCAATCTTTTTAAGTGATATAAGAATGTATTGATCTTTTAGTTCTTTGAGATTCATGTCCTTGATACTTGTAAGTCACATGTCTAATTTATAATACAAGTTTCCTATATATGCACTACATGTCAAGTTTCATCACAAGTAATCAATATATGCAACATATGGTTAACTTATTGATCAAGTTTTCAATCCATCAATTATATTTAGATATGTATAAAGACAAAGCTACATCTATGAATTTTCTTCTAAAGATATTTTTAAATTTATTTATTTTTATCTATTTTTATCTATTTCTATAATTTAAATAATTATTGAGATAAAAATATATATTTATAATAACAAATAACAAGAAACAAGTAATAAGATGTATCTCTATTACTATAGCTTACATGTAGATTTTTTTATTAACAAATAACCTCTAATTAAAGCAATCAAATTTTAAGTAATTTTTTAAATTAATTATTATAAATTTCTTAATCTTAATATGAAAAATATATATATTTATTCCAATAATTATCTAAATAATATGAGTAGATAGAAATAGATCATGTGAATTGGACATGTATTGAAGGTCTTATAAAATGTTGCTACATAATTTCTAGTTAGATAGTATATATAGATGCAAAAATGAGGCTTTTTAATCTTATCAACTTCTTTCTTATTTCTTATCAAGTTTCAAGGATCTCTAGATTTTTAGTCTTTAGCAATAGTTATTCCAATTTTTTCTTAAATATATGCACTTTGATACCTAACCACAATCAAAGAATTATTTTTGATGATGTTCTAAATATTTTATTTGAAATAATTTATAAAAGCTTGAACAATAATCAAATAGCAAAGTGGTCTTTTGTATTGGTATGACAAAGTATTAATGTTTGAAAGGACCTATCAACTACTTTCAAAGAGAACAAGATCAAAATATGCAATTAATACAATTTGTCACATCTTAGACTTCTTAAACATGTGATCACATCTCTTTGTAGAACTTATTTCTCGAAAGGTGAATAATGTCATACATATCAACATTGGCATTGATATTTAGAAAAATAAGATAAATTAGGTAGAAATATAAATAAATAAATTGGATAATATCTTATAGAAAAGCTTTGTAGATATAGCTTTGACTTCAATAGAATATTGTCATATAGCTCCTTAGTTAGATAATATGTATGGATATAAGAATGAAGCCTTCTTCACTCTTATAAATGTCTTTCTTATATTCTTGTCTTAGCTCAAGGATCTCTAGTTTCTTTGTACTTGACAATAATCATTTTAGTTTCTATCTTATATCTATCTTTGATTTATTTACTTTCTTCTTTCAAGTATCACAAAAGTATATTGCTCCTTTAGAATTTTTTTATAATTCATATTTTTGATAATTAATATTTTTTAAAACTTTTTAAATGATAAAGCTTTTATATTTTAACATCTATGTTGATATTTTTTCCAAATTCTAATTTATTAGCGTATTTAATAAAAACTTTCTTTGTTCAAGATAGTTTATGGTTTATAAATACATATTTATGCATGTAAGAGGTTACTATAGAACTAATATTTTCAACTATTTTTATTATCAATTTGGCTATTTTTTTCTTTATTATTAGCCATTGTTAGATGTAAAAATTATTATTTATTTTTTAAAAAAATTAAATATTTTATTATAATCTTATTGGTTTTTTTTTTCAATTCTACTTTTTTATCAATGTTATATGTTTATTAGGAATGCCTTAATCTATCTAATTATCATTAATTTAACTATTTTCAAATCTTGGTATCTAAATCTAAGTTTAAGGTTAGTTTCATATTAAAATCATTATGTTAGAAGTATCTTAACATTAAGATATATCTAAATTAAGAGTTTCAGCATAAAGTTAAATTTCAGTCTTTAAAATGTTGGTACTTTAAAAAATTGTACTCAACTTAAATGTGCATTGTATTTTGCTTGCTTGAGATAGTAGAATCTGGATAGTTGACTTCTGTTTAGATCAGATCATAAATGTTTTCTTAGATTGCATTCATAATAATAATTTTTTATTTTAGAAGTGAGAAGACATTAAGATTTTGCGTTTTAAAATAATTTATAATAATTTCTTAAAAAATGTTATTTTAACTTTAATTATATATATCTAGAATCAAAACATATTTATATTATTTTAAAACTTCTAAAAGGATGATTTGGAAATTCTAAAAATTACTATTCAACTATCATCTTACTATAATTCACTACTATTTACTTTTTGTGATTTCTCTTCTATCTATGCACATGAGAAAAAAGTTAGGTTTAAAATAATATAGGTTTATGACGTGACAGCGAATTGAAGTTGACATTTGGACAAAAATCATCCATTGTTTCATCCATGGACACGGGTGCCCAATCCAACCTCCGTCCTGTGATGAACGAACGATGCGACGATTTACTAACGAACGTCGTCCGCCGTCAACGTGTGCCCGCAGTCGTCGACCCCAGCTCCCGAGGTGCCGTCCCGGTTCGAATCCCAACCCCGCCACGGCGGGAAAACGACACGCCCCGGATTACCGTCACCGATTAGGGTTTAAACCCGGATATTCTTCCCCCGCCCCTGCCTTCAGCTTGTCCGCCTCGACGGACTGACAGGGCTCTCTACGTTAATCGCCACTCCCTTGATCTCCAAAGATGTTGTTGCCCCGCAACTCAACAGTTCCTGTGCACCATGTGGTAGAAATCCGGACAATTTGAGATCGAAACCGTCGTGTATAGTGCTGAATTCGGTCCAGAGTTGGACCTGGGAAACCGCGATGGTGCGTTCGAGATCGTAAGGTTGCCGACGAAGGCGTAACTTGGAAGTCCTCTGTGTCCCGGCGATGTCCCAATGTTGGCCCGATTTTCTGTTTTTAGCGAGCTGTGGGCTAGTTTGTGGGTATGATCCGGGGAATGAGACGAGATGTCTGTCTGAGTGAGACCACTCTAGGGGCTGTTGGAGGATGAGGAGGGAAGCGCAGAAGTTGGCCATTCTTTTCAGTGACTGGACTCTGTGCGAGTGGTCAGCTTTCGGGAGCTGCTGTTGCATTGACCGGTGATTCTTTCGAGATCGTAGAGACAGCAGCTGGCAAGGTAGGTCCTGCAAACTAGCTTCATTTTAGGTTTTGAGGTTGGAGTGAATTCTTCGAGATGGAATTACGAGTAGAGTGTCTTCTGAGATGTTTTGTATTGTTAGCCTCTCCCCCCCCCCCAAAAAAAAAAAAAAAAACAAAAAAACAAAACAATGATAATAATTTGGAATTTTGTCTTGTGAGTTACTTTCTTCCGCTTTCGCTGCAGTGTAGCGTGTGTGTATTGCCGATCGTTGTGAGGATGCGTGTCTTTACTTTAGAAGCATGATACTGGTTTATGGGAGACGTCGAGTTTGACGTATGTTAAGGCAATGACATTTTCTTTCGTAGATGGTTAACAGGACTGTTCGTTGGTGAATTTTTACTTCCTCTAAAGCCGAACCTGATTTGTTTGCATTGAGCTGATCGAAAATACTTGGGGTTGATTCTTGAACTGCCCTTCTGAACGATTTCGCTAAATGAAGCCGTCTCGTACTCAATAGATGCAGTGTCAGGATGAAGTGTTTGAGGAGAGACTTTGAGCGGGGAAACTACATTCACCGCAGATTCTTTGAGACCCCATTTGGATAGTATTGTATTTTGATCCTCAATTATTCAGTTCCAGGATTGACAACTGTGACGTTTGTTTAGTAGTTTTTGTTATGATATCTTCCTACATGAACCTTTATAGCTTTGCACATTGAAGGCTTACTTTGATATTAAGAGATGAGGGTTATCCTACCAGCAATCAGATTCTTGGAACTTCCAACTTTACCAGCGTACTTAACAATGAGTGGAGAAACCAGTTTTTCTTACTTAGAACAATACAGTGGCTTCACACAATTTGGCTCTATTCTTAAGGGCACAAATTTCGGGTACTAAAATTTGAAGGAACTGAGAGGAATCTTGACAATGCAATTGCCGATGAATCGTGTAGGTGTACAGTGTTGTACCAACCAATGTAGGCGATCAGAGCAGTAATAGTTCCATCGTGTACCGCCTACAAGTTTCTTCCATGAAGGCGTGTATGATCCTAGGAGTAGTCGATGCCATCTGTGCTATTTAACGAAACCTATTTAGATGCGTGCTCTGGTGATTTCTCCGTCAACTTCAAGAGCTGAATTTTAGATCTTTGGAGGGTAAGGTTCTATATTTTCGAATATTTTTCCTCTTGAAATCGTGTACGGATGCGGGTTGTAGGGTACCTTTTAGTTCTGTAGCTTGGTAGCTTCAAACCTGCGAAGTTGTTGAAATGTGCGCGTGCTATCCTGTTCTCTTATTTTCAATTTCGACTTGCTACTGCAACTTTGCTGTAGGGTTTTGGGAGGCTTTTCAAATGAAGGGCATTCAAGAGCTTTCAGATGATGAAGATTATATTCCGCCTGTCAATGCATCGCGATATTTCAACAGGGGCAAAGCGCTCTCAAAGACATCATCCAATCATGCCAATGGAAATGGAAATCCAAACGGAACGAGTTTTGGAGTTTCAACTTCTTCAGCAAGTGACTCTGACAAAGATAAGAAATCCGAAGTTTCAGGTTCTTTACTAAGCGATTCTGGCAAGAATCAAAAGTCCGTTACTGAATTGGATTCGTTCGCATTTAACCGCAAGTCCAGAATTGCCAAGCGACCTATCGAGCTACTCGAAGACGAGGAGGACGTGGACGTTGGAGCTGCAAAGGTGCGACGAGCGGAGGCATGCATTTTATCTCATTCCTGTAGAATATGCAAAAAAATAATTTCTCTTTTTTTACCTGGTTAGAATTCCATGTTAACCCTGTCGTAGCTTGATAACACAAAGTCTAACCTATGCAGTATGATTCGAGCTGCATTACACTCCAATTTAATAATGAACCAGTTTATTATACTAAAAAGAGATCGTATCGACTTTTTCATCATGGTGCAGGTTGTAGACATTGAGCCGACTAACGGAAACAAGAGGCGGAGACGGTATCACACCATCGAAGACAGTGACGATGAAGAGTTGGATGAGAAGAAATCGTTTGGTGATAATCTGACCCCAGGAACGGAAATCGATCAATGTGCAGCCGATGAATCCTTAGCAAAAAGGTTGCAGGATTTAGAGCACCGGGCAGTTTCTGGCCGTAATCGCCTGGTTCAAATTTTGTCAGATTCCGATGAAGAAGAAGAGGAAGAAGTAAATCCCATAACCATCACCCTACAAAGGTGTGACCAGATTGCAGCATCATTGCGAGAAGAGCTGCAGGCCAGCAGTTCAAGTGATAACTCGGTTAATGAAGATCGTTATGCAGAGGTTGATGTAGCAGCAGCAAAAATTGTGAGCCAGGTATGGAGAAGCTTTACGTTAACCCAAGGTGAAGCTTTTGTTAAATAACCAAGCCACTCAAGATTGCGGAAATAGAGAGTTACTCGTTAGGAAGTTCTACTCAATTCATCACTATTTAAGTTACAAATCAACGCGAACATTTTGTCTTGTTTTTCCCATGTTTTTTATTTACCCTTTGAGGGCACGAAGGAGGCTAGAGTGTCGAAGCGCATACGTTTTATACCGCTACGTTTCCTACAGTTAATTTCCTGAAGCAGATAGTAAAATTCCCATTTGTAACATGTGGAAGTTCCTGTATTTACCCTGTTTTAACGCAACTGGGGTCTTTCTACCAGGACATGTCGTAACAATTGCTGACATCACTTAATGCGTGTTCCTCAGGCAGATGTCTGTGCAGCTTGTGGCATTGCCGAGAATGATACACAACGAATGCTCAAGCCATATCAGCTTGTAGGCGTCAATTTCATGCTGCTACTTCACCGCAAACATGTTGGGGGTGGTAAGGTTTCTCGAACTAGATCCTGAGATTGGCAAGGTGCATATGTTGACATCGTCTACTGTAATGGTTGTTTTGTTTAAATTTTGAAACAATGTGGTCCTCAGATACATGGGCGCTTCAATCTAGATCTTATTTTCCAACTTAGACTTTAGTTCTTTCAGTCTGCTGATGCAGGGTTGGTGGTGTAACAGCTATACTTGCGGATGAAATGGGCCTAGGAAAGACTGTGCAGGTACATGTCGGTAGTATTATATTTCAAAAGCTTAAGTCAAATTCAGGCTCGATTTGAGGCTTGCATAATGTTGCTTAACAATGTCATGATTTTCATGTGATTTTCATGCTACTCATCTCGCTTCTCTGTGATCCTGTATTGCTTCCATCCAGTTTCCGGTCGCTTGTTTTACAAACAATTCGAAATCTCACCAACTTTCCACTCGAACTCTTGAAGATGCCATGTTTAATGATTTCAATTTTGTATGTGTATTCTAGAATTTATTGACTTTATTTATGAAGCTCATGTTGAGGGTATATTTTTGAAGCCATTGTTATCTTGAGTGGTTGTACCCACAGGTGGTATGAACATGTTCTGTGGTTGCAGGCAGTTGCGTATCTTGCCCTTCTGAAACATCTTGATGGAGATGCTGGTCCTCATCTTTTAGTTGCACCTGCTTCTCTTTTAGAAAACTGGCAAAGAGAACTCAAGAAGTGGTGTCCTGCATTTAAGGTGGAGCTCTATCATGGCTCAGGAAGGGCAGCTTTAAACAGGAGGCTTCAGTATGCTGCAAAATCTAAAGGGCCTGCACCCTTTAACGTGATGCTGACGTGCTACTCCCTTTTTGAGAGGCAGAGGTTCGATTTTGAACTCATAATTATTCAAATTTTCATATTCATTCATAGTTCAAGCTTTTAATACCCAGTCTTTTAGGTTTTAGTTTGTTCGATGACGAATGTGGTTATTCGGAACTTTCTAGGGTTAATTGGTATGCGACTTCGCTTTGTGCTTAGCGTTTGTCTGACTGGTTGTGGTAATGCTATCAGCACATTTTCTTCTTATTGCGCTTAATTTACACATGTGAACTTTATCCAGTGCTCAGACAAAAGATGACCGCAAATTCCTTAAGAAATGGAATTGGCGCTGTGTGGTTATGGACGAGGCTCATCTTTTGAAGGACAGAAGCAGCTTTCGCAGCAAAAAGTTGCGAGATATAGCTCACAAAGCAATTCAAAGACTGATGCTGACTGGTACTCCACTCCAGAACGATTTGCAGGTAATGGCCAACTTATCCAGTAATAACAATAATAACAGAAGTAGTAATAGTAAATAGTTCCTTTTGTTGGAAGTGTACCTTTAGAAATATGTCGATGAGATGGTCTCACAGGTGCCTGTACTGCTATTTTATTTCTATTTGTAACTTGATTTTTTTCATTCTTGCTCTTCCACGCCGCAAATTCCTTAAGAACTGGTAGTACCAACTTCTCTGACTCAAGGTCAATGATAAGCTTTAAAGAATAATGCTTATGCAACGCTTTCTTAATTTGCAGGAGCTATGGTCACTTCTGGAGTTCATGATGCCTGATGTGTTCAACACAAATGGCGTTGATTTAGATCAATATCTGGGAACCAGGAACGATACCTCAGGGATTGTTGTGCAGGATACGAACTTGATGACTCGGATCAAAGGAATACTAGGACCTTTTGTATTACGGAGAATGAAAACTGATGTTATGCGCCAGCTTGTATCAAAGATTCAGGAGGTTCGTTTCTCAGTTGGTTTTGGCTGTCGCTGCGACATGGTTTTCCATCTGGGTTTGGTCTTTATGTAACAAATTTGAGAGTTCTGAACTATCCTTATTTTTCTGAGTTGACAGATTTATTTCGATAACTGCAGGTGGAGTGTGTGGAGATGCTAGACGAGCAATCAATGGCATATAAAAAAGCTGTGAATGAGTATAGAGCCCTTGCTGAGTCCGCACGTGCCGCTAAAGCTGCAAAGAAATCCTCAGTTAGCGTAGTAGATGTCCTTCCTCGTCGACAAGTGACCAATATCTTTACTCAATTGAGAAAGGTGGGTTGACTGGGTTCTCATCCATACAGACTCAACGTTGTGAGCTTTCTCCTATGTTGGTTAGTCAAGAGGATCGATGCATATGTAGAATGTGGATTCGTTTCTGATTCTTCATCATGGAAAGCCCAGCTCTAAAACCTGAACTTTGTGATTGTAGCTCGGTAATCATCCCTTGTTGATACGCCGTTTGTATTCTGACGAGACAGTCAAGAAATTGGCTAAGAAATTTCATCCATTAGGAGTTTTTGGATATGAATGCGATTTGCAGCGTGTGGAGGAAGAATTGACTAGTTACAGCGATTTTGACCTCCACAAGGTATCTTCTTGCTATCCTCGACTTGATTTGGACTTATAAATCTCAAGTGCTTTTGTCTGCGGCATGTTCCTTCCTTGAGTCCGTTCCGTCAGTTTTTTACATGGTACTATCCTACTATGCTATAGTTGTGTATTCAATATGGAGGCGCTGCGGGAGGGCAAGGAAAGCTTGATGATGATCATGCACTAGCTTCTGCAAAGTGCCAGGTGCATTTCATTTTATTTTTTTTAATTTCTGTAAGCGATTATCTTAAATGTTTTTGTCTCCTCGTGTTTTCGTTTTCCTCTGATGTGAGTTGTCTTCTTATTAAATAGATGTCATCTTGATATCCTGATTTAGTTACCTTTGCCGCAGGCTTTAGCACGTCTACTTCCCAAGTTACAGCAAGGTGGCCATCGCACATTGATATTCAGCCAGTGGACAAGCATGCTGGATATTTTAGAATGGGCTCTTGACGTCATGGGTTTTTCTTACACTCGCCTAGATGGAAGGTAATGTTTCAATCCACTTTGCCTCTCTGCCTCGTTCTTCAATGTTTGCCCTTCTTTGTTACTTTTTTTGTTTTTGTATATTCGTGTGTGTACATTTTCCTCTGAAATGCAGGGATTAATGAATTAAGCAGTTTCATTTTTTTCTGACTCTGCCAGCACTCAAGTAAGTGAACGCCAAACCCTAGTGGACGAGTTCAACAATGACCCTAGCATATTTGTGTTTCTCCTGTCTACTCGAGCTGGAGGTCAAGGTCTAAATTTAACAGGAGCAGACACAGTCATTTTACATGATTTGGACTTCAATCCCCAAATGGATCGACAGGCTGAGGATCGCTGTCATCGGATTGGCCAGTCTAAACCTGTTACGATATACCGGTTTGTGTACTTCACTTCTGAAGCTTTGTGTGATGTCTGTATCATCGTTTCTGGCTATTTACGCCGTGTCTTGGTTCTGGGAGTAGCTCTTTGAACTTAGTATTTTCTATCTCTATTTTCAATCGTTCTTGCACTTATAATATTTAGGTGTATATGCAGACTTGTAACAAAAGATACGGTCGATGAAAGTATATACAAGATAGCCCAACAGAAGCTGGTCCTCGATGCGGCAGTTCTTGAAGGAAAAGAGTCATCCTCTGATCTTAATGATGGTGATGCTCGCACGATGGGTGAAATTCTTTCTGCATTATTGGATGTTCCACCGACATGATCCTGGAGTCCAGAACACATTTTTAATTTATTTTCATTATCTTTATCTGGCACTGCGAGAAAGCTCACTGAGACATCTGACTTAAGGTGAACTTGTACAAGGTCTTCCATGTTATTGGAAGTCTGGTGCTCAAGTGTAATCATCGTCACTTTATGAATGACGTAAGTGCAAGTTTCAAACGCATTCTTGTTATTATGCGTAATTCTGTTACCTCTTTTATGTTAGGCGATGATGTTCTTTCCTTTAATGTATATTGGTGAGCGTAAATTATAATCAAATTCTCATTTCCTTTTTTGCTGTCGTCTATTACTAAGATGAGTATGGTTATTTCGTAGTTATGTCATAGTTAGAGATCCGAGCATCCAGAAATGCGTTTCTCTTTGTACAATAGGAATGTTGTTAATTGATATGTAGTGAATAATTATGTCGAAATAAAATTCACAGATTCACTGCATGAAGATGACAACTTGCGACTGATTTGGAAATCTTAGCCCGACTCGCTGTTAATTATTTTGAGCTACGATTATTTTGCTATCCCTTTGCTTTCAGAAGCTAACCATGGTCCTTACAGGTTTGTGATGAAGAATGATTGTACAATATTTTGAAACCACTTGAGAATATGCTATTTTGAGAACACAGGAAAAAAAACAAAGCATGATTTTTAAACTTAAATAAGATAGACTTCAAGCTATTTTCTAAAGTTTATTTTATTTAAAGTATAATCCAATTTATGTGTATAAAGCGAAACGTGATGAAGGTCAGTACATGTTGCCGTTGAAAAGAATCAATTCTACTTTAATAGAAGGATTGTGGAAGGACATCCCCAATTCTTTTACTGTTTTACCATTAGTTCACTTGGTTTTTCTCCCCATACTTCTATCCCATTCTTTTTCTTGTGATGACTAAAATTGAAAGTTTCTTTATTAGACCAATCAACTTTATTAACTTTATTAGATCAATCATAAATACAAAACTAGGACCTGAGTAGAAGAGTTTGTAATTTTAAAAATTATACAAAAAATTATAAAAATTAAATCAAGTAGTTATTGAAAGTGTGAGTTTAAAAGTGTTTGACTAGTTAATAAATATTATTTATATACATGCATAACATAACATATGGTGAATAAAAAACCACAATACTCATTTGCCATTTATACGTGTCAATAATAAAAAGTATGTGTTACATAATAACAAATGATTTTAGATAATCACGTAAGTACTTTTTTTCTACAAAATATTATTTAAGATTTAATTTTTGTCAATATAAAAATATATATAAATTAGTACAATTAGAAACAAAAAATACAAGACAATGTACAATTAAATAAAGTAATATTATACATATACATACACATTTCAAAGTAAGAAAAAGACTATTTGTATAACCTAAAACAAGATAAAGCAGTGCAGTCTTTTGTACTAAACAAACAAGCAATATCAAGAACTTCTTGGAAGATCTTCTTTTTCTACCCTTTTATATTCTATTTTTAGAACTACATTTTTAAATTGTGATCATTTCTATAATATAATATTATAATCTTAAAATAAGCACAAATTTTATTTAAAATAAGCACAAATCAAAGGATCAAAATAAATCTATTGGAAGTGAAAAGATTTATAATTTCTAATCTTGTCTCAAAATCTTTCTTTTATTATATACAAATCTTTGTATTGTAATAATGTATTTTTTTGAAAAAAATAATCATTAAAAAATATCCTCCCTTATCATTGTTCTGTAGACATGCATTAGTCATTTAGGATGAATTTATTTTAAAATTGTATATTAATTGGAAGTCATCAAGTCCATTGTGCAAAGCTTGAACCGAGAAATATTCATTTGAATGTTTTGAGGATTAGTGGAGAGTATCGGAATACATTAGTAAATTCAAAAAAGTTTTTGCAGCAAAAGGAATACTTATGGAAATTTTAAAAATGTTGTTTTGTATACAATGATGCAAAATATGGATGCAAACGTAAGCAGAGTCCAAAACTTGCTGCAATGAAAATGCTCAAAGTGAGATGCCACTTGATTTCTTGTATCTTTACTTGTACTTGTTTAGAATATATTTTGATTACAAATCGTAATAAAAAAAATTATAGAACTAGTGATAACACAAGAATGACGCAAAACAGCATAAAAATTTAATTTAAGAATAAGAAAATAGTCTCAAGTATTACATGGAATAATGTAACTAGATAAATTATAACAAGTTTCGTCTACACCAATTTCACGTAAGATTGATTTATATTGACCTTCACGACGTGAATATGTATCTTATGGTACAAACAAGCGCACATATAGAATTATAATTCATGAGTACATCCTATTTGATAATTATGCAAAGAAAAAACTGTGAAATCCAGAGTGAAAACTCTACGAAATTGCATCCAACATTTCCTTTACAAAAGGCCTTTTTCTGTACGTTTCTATTTTCAGCCCTTTTTAAAATTTCTGATGCCTGTTGCTAAAAACTACATACCTCAAATTGTTGATAAATAGATCATCTCTCTTTGTTACTTTGTTGGGATGCATACACAATCAAAGCCTAAATGAAAACTTATTGATCTCAATTGTTATAACCTATTCATTAATCTCAATAATAATCTAGATGACAAGTTAAACTTAATCCATGTAAAACCCACAAGGACATAGATCAGCACCAGGTTCTGTAGAGCTTCAATCCAAGACAAAATAAAGATACCTTAATAACCTCAGAGCCGAACAAGGACTCTTCAGCTTGAACAACATAACATCGGTGCCTCTTATCGTTCTCCACTGACACTTCTTCAAATCATTTACGACACCAGTCGCTAATCTTAACTTTAAAAATGTCGCTTTGTACGGCAAGACAGAGGCACATCACACTCCGCAAGCAGTAGAAAAGAGCATGACAGCAAGAAGACTGAGCCGAGATGTTAGATCGTCAGGATTTGGTAATGTACAATTCAGCTTTCCTAACCATCCCCCAATCGTGCTCGTCAGTGCTCTGAACCACAATCACCAGTGGCGTGAAAACTTTACCAGTGGATCTCACTGATCAGCCACGGCGACCAACCTAACCACCACCACAGCAAGCCCATTTGGAACTTGACACCTACTCTAAATCAACATTTTACACTGGCTTTGCCACCTAATATCCTATATAATTCAACACAACACCACTTTCGCACTATCCTCCACACGTACAAGACACAGACCTGACATGGGGAATTCCAAAAAAACCAACTCTTCCATCAGTGTATCCAGGCGCTCTCTGCACCTCAGTGTTACAGTGAAAACCTTCCAACCACCAGGCCTCTCCCTTTTGATTGTTGAGGTCGATGGTGTTTACCCAGCTTCCACTCTTGGAATTGGACTTCAATCCAGTGTCGCGCTTAACCGGGATTAGTATCTGTCCCGAGGATTCATCGCAATCCAATATTGTGGCCTCCTTAATCCTGGAACTGTGACGCTCGAGTCCTGTAAGGAGGACGTTGTTACAGTCGCTATCAGGCTCGTCCCCTTCCGAAGCCTCAGGACTGGTTAACCCCTGAACCTGCTCCAGTATCGCCTCTTCCCTACCTTTCAAAGTTCTTAGAATCAGCGTCTTTAGGAAGTTCATCACCTGAACTGCGTGCATTAGAGCAGTCAAAGGGTCGGCCATCTGCAAATACAAAGGTCGGAGAAGAAATAAATAAATAATGTCGAACTGGAATTTTTGTTTCGAAATGAGGCGAAGGACGATTTTTTTGGGCAGATTATGTTCAGAATAAAGCCCAGCATCTGAGGAGGGGTTCAGAATGACGTACCTGGGTCATGTTAGGAGCAAATACCATTGCAATGTTGTGAGCGTTCATCTTGTTGAACGTTTCCTCTTGAACTACATCAGCCATCAGATTGACAGCCCAATCAAGCAGCGCAGCTTGAGTAGGGGGAAGAAGCTTCACGAGTGCCACACTTTCCTCCTCGGTGTGGCATGCCAGCACTTGATCGGGAGTCAGAACATCCAACACACCTTGTGGTAACTCCCGAAACCAGGCCTGAAATGATATTATTCCACATTACCTGTTAAGATTAGTCTTTCCTTAACCCCCCGCTCAGAAACGATACAAAGTCCAAGGAAAAACAGTCAAATCAAGAACCATGTTGGTGGGTTAAATGTCCTGAATAAATTACCTTGACGAGGCCGGCAAGACAATACGAATCGATGTCCAGAGGTACAATACCCTTGTTCAGTTGATCCCTTACGTGTTCGTGATGGCTGTTCTCTGCGTTGATTCTGAAAATACCTTCCGCCTGTAAGCAGAACCAACCGATTACTAAAACCCAGATTCAAAACCTTCACTAAAAACAAAAAGGACAAGCAGCCATCATTTGAATGTAAGAACACTTACTAATCAGACGATATTTTGACGGGCCAAGTAAACAATTAGAGAGAACACTGCAGGAGCAAGAATATTCAGCCGACAAACCTTCAGGCCTCCTTGATTATATAGCCTCTCTTGCATCAGTAGTAGGATAGTCGGAACACTGTTGCCATTCTGGTCATACGAGCACTGCATAGACTCCGCAGAAACACCAAATACACTCTGGCTGCATTCATCGACCAAACATGCACATGTTGAATCTCTCAAACCAACAATCATCTGGAGGTACACTCAGCTTCTCAACTCAATACAGCTAGAAACACACAAAAACGCTAATCTCGCTGCACTTAACAGGGATACTCCCCTGTTCCCCATGACAGACCCCTAAAAGTTTGTCAGTATTGACGATCACAGATCAAATGCTGACAACGTCTCAGGGAGGCAAACCTGCGTGCGAAAAAATAGAGACTTCGGTGGTACAAAGTCATCCACAATTGAAATTTTCAATGCCACTTCTCAAACCGAAACTTCAATTCAGAGTGTTCATATCCTCGATCTAATTCCAAGAACTGTAAATCCTATACTTCTAGACGAAAATACTAACACAATAGAGAGACTTTATCAACATGACATTGAACCAGTCTGAAATTTGCTCATTTCGCACATATCTCAATGCAATTTGACCTAGAGAAAAGTTTGATTCTTGGGATTGGCCAGATCATACAGAGTGATACCCACTACGGTATCGTAAAAATATGTTAACTTCGGGATGTCATAAGATAAAAAGCACATGAAGCTCAACTACAAACATTCTCAATTACAACCAATTCACAGCAGGTGAATAGCGCTCAAGATGACATAAAAGCTTGGACATTGGACCACAACTCAACCTGCGAAAATGAAATATTCTCTTACTTGTGGCTTCAGATATGAACCATCCAAAAACAATCATAAAAGATCATTACCATTCCACATACACAAAACCTTGCCTGGACAGCTGTAACAATTCAAGTTATGGATGAAATCACAAAAATACCAATACGTATACTGCGTTCGCACACACTCTGCACGGAAAGTACGAACATGTTACCTTGCACTTGGCACGCGCCCGGGAACTTCAACTTCGAACTCCTGGGGTAAACCCAAAAACCCATTGTACCGGTCGAAGGTCACATGAGCCACATGTTGTACATCAGTGGGCCACCCAATCTCCAGGGAACTTTCATCTCCTTCTTCTACATCTTGACACATGGTCAAAACAGATCTTCTAACTGTTGCCAGCATCAGAGCCACCAATGAAAGCTGGGCTGATCTCTCACTTTCCTGATCATTGTTGCTGATGTTGAAGCTGCCATGCCTGCGGCTCAAGCTGCTGTTTCTGCTCCTTGTTGTAGCAGAAGCATAATGCAAAGCATTCGCATAACCTACGGACTCGTTTTGGTCCGGTGTGATGTTTCGCAGGTGTATCTGGGTTGGGAGAACCTCTGTCATTGTCTTCTACTCGTAACTGCCAACCTTCTTAAACAGTGATCATGCGGTGGTACAAGGGGGAAGGAAGGCTCCTGAATTGGACAAAGCGCTTTGATGGAATATCACCCTTAAATCCAAGCAAAAATCCAATTCAAGATATTATGCAGGCTCATCCTCTCCTTATCTCAAAAAAGGTCCTTTCACCCTCCATAAGCACCCTGGAGTTTGAAGATACGATCTTGCTGCAAGAAGGGCATCAAGATGGACCAAAGAATGACATCAGCCCTATAGAAATACTTTGGTATCCTATCACAACTCTCGGGCTTCACATCCAGAACGCACCTATGGGCAATTGGACACAGTAGTCCGAATCTGGCACTTCAAATGGAGACCGTTAGGTTACTGCCGCCGCAACTGCTGGTAGAGCTTCTCCACCATGCGCCGCAGTAAGAGAATTTTATTGGCCAGATACTTGCACTAAATAAAATGTAGTCAGAACGTGTACTTCTCCCTGCCAAATAAAAGATACCTAATCAGCTCTCCTACACTTACACTTACTCAGAGAAAGTCTAAAATTCATCCAGATCCAAGTGTTATCAAAATGGCGGGGCTTTATGCCACAACAAATTCCATGTAAAAGGATTCTTGTGCACAGACGATATTCTATACAAGCAAGGACGGGATGAGGAGGTGAAACAAGTCCAAAACAACACAGTTCACAAAGTATTTCCTGCACCTGGGATGAGAAGGCAACCTTGAACCCGATCTACTTTTCGAAACTCATAACTCAAGGCAAGACTATCCGATTAGATCCACTCCTGGCCTACCTCAACAACAAAGTTACAAACCCTAAACCCGATCCTGCAACTAGCGACGATAGCTAGATGCTACAAGCAATGAAAACACGCAGCATACACAACCAGCAACTCAATCCCCACTCACATTATAGACGCAATGCACACTGAATCGATAATCTCAGTAGGCTAAGATTAGCATTCCACTTGTACCACATTCTCACGACAAAGCCAGACCCAAAAAACCTACCCAGACGTGCGTAGGACGCTAACCGATACAAAGAGGTACAGACTCAACGTCTCTCTCGGCAGTTACACTGCCTTTCTCTCGCTCTCTCTCTCTCCCACCCACACAAAAACTGCAAAATGATTCAAACTCTTCCTCCGAAACACGAAGTAACATGAACAGGCACCCAGCAGGGGCACTACACTGAGAACCCAGCAGTCAAGATGCCCGAAATGGCTGTCCAGAAACAGAAAAAAATGGTATACATCGAGCACCCACAGCGTGGAAAAGGGACAAACCTTGACAGGATACAAGCAAGCAGGCGATGGAGAAACCTGGAGACCAACGAGTGCTTTCCTTCACAACAAACACAACTAATGCTCACTCACGCACTCACTCACTCACAAAAATATCAACTTTGTGTCCTCCTCCACCTGCTGGTACAACTGCAACTTTAACAACATAATATAACACAACACAGCACAAGACATCCAGGCAAGCAAACAGTGATTCCTCCTCTTGTTCTGCTTCTCCGTCCCCACCGTAGAATGAAAAACGTGGTCTCAGCTTTGGATTTGCCTCATTTGCTATCATCCTCCTCTTTCCATTGCTATCATCCTGTCTCTTTCTCTCTCTCCTTCTCCCTCACTCACTCTTCCTCTCTAAAACAAACATTATATGGTAAAACAACAACTTTACCATACAAAAAACAAAAAACAAAACAAAAACTTTACATGGGTTTGCTTGACAAGTGGAAAATATAGAATGAAATTGATTGAATTCTTCGTTTGAGATACAAGTTTGGTTTGATTCAGATATGAGTTAAGAGTTGATTAAGAAATGTATTGTTTTATTAGAAGTGGGTAGGGATAGTGTGGTTAAAATTTCTGTTATAACATGTATTTGTATTTGTATAAGTTAATCTTTTTTATATATCATATATGAAGTATATTATATTAAGTAACAAGCGTTATGTGTCACGGACACAAAATACAGACTTGATATCTACCAAGAAGTTCAAGAACAACTAGCAAGAACTAGATTAATCAGATGAATACAAGAACAACACCAGAGAAGTGAGCTAGAGCTCCAAGAGATGTGTTGTCGAGACTGAAGAACTCTTCAGCCTCGATCCCAATATATACTCCTATTTAGGAAGCTTTTCAAGCAACTTCTACCAACTAGGAAGCTTCTAGAAGGTTCCAGAGACTTGCTTCTAGAAGGTTCTAGAAACTTATCTCTAGAAGGTTCTAAAGACTATGTCCCTAACATCTTCTACCAACTAAGAAGCTTCTAGAAGGTTCCAGAGACTTGCTTCTAGAAGGTTCTAGAAGCTTGTCTCTAGAAGGTTCTAGAAACTTGTCTCTAGAAGGTTCTAAGGACTATGTCCCTAACATCACCCCCTCCTTTAGCTTCGAGGTCTCTGAGAAGCAATGTTGTTGTCAATCAGTACCAACGTAAGAAAATGAAGATCTGTCGCATAACGTCTGCTATGAACTCCAACTGTTGTTCACGAGGTAAGTGGTTCATCGGCCCTTGAAGCCAACGGTAGTGGCCCACTCCTTCAACTTCTGACCAAGTATGAACTTCCATGTCTTCATTGTGAAATTGTCCTGCAAATATGCCTTCTGGTTGACCATCGTAAGCAGGCTCGGACTCAAATACAATCACCAGTGATCGGTTACTTGGTATCCTCCGTCATTGTCGTGGTGCAGGTGGTTCTTCATCTCGGGGTCGCCTTCATGAACTAGTTGGTTGAGATAATCTGACTGGCATAGTATCTATCTCTTGGCTATCCATATCAGAAGACCAAACTATGGCTACTGAAAAAATTCTATTTTATCTTGGAGAAAATAACTACATCAACTACGAATTCTGGTGGTGCTCTCTCCGTTTCTTATATTCTTGGGTGAGCAAGCTTCAGAAAGAAGCTATTGTAGAACCGGCTTAGGTTTATGAGGATGTTGTTGATGAAACTCCTGTACCTTTTGTGGCGCATTGGTGAGATTTTCAGCTGGCTCCCACGTTCGCTCATTAATATCGTAGCCACACCAATGAACAAGATACTCCAACTTATCCCACCTTTGCCGAGAATCTAGCACCTTTTCAACCTCGTATTCTTTGTGGTTCTCGATCTCAATACTAGGTGGCAGACCTGGCACTCTTCCAAAAAAAGATGACTCTCGATAAGGCTCCAACAAAGAAACATGAAAGACTGAATGTACCTTCATAGAAGCCGATAATTCCAGACGGTACGCCACTGAATTGATTTGCTTTTGGATGATAAATGGTCCCAATCTTCAATAGTCCAACTTATCACATGGTCGCTTGGTCTTGATATTCCGTCGAAGAAGCCATGCTTTATCTCCAATTTTGAAAGTAGGTGCTTGATTCCGAAATCTATCTGCAGATGCCTTGTAGGATTCTTGAGCGGATTGTAATTGAAGCTTCAACGTATTTTGAAGCTGTGATAGTTGTTTTGCAAATCCTTCAACTCCTGGATTGTTATTTGTTGATGGACTCAATAAATCAAGCTTTGGATGATACCCATAGTTGGAAAAAAATGGTGTGTATTGAGTCGACGCATAGAGGGTGTTGTTATATGCAAACTCGGCTATCGGCAAATATGTGGTCCAATCGTCTTGCTGATAGTTGATGCTGCATCGTAAGTATTGTTCCAAGACTTGGTTCACCCGTTCCGTTTGACCGTCAGTTTGAGGATGAAAAGCCGAAGAAAGCTTGATATCCACCTTCAGTATCTCAAAGAGAGATCTCCAAAACTTTGATACGAACTGGATTCCTCGATCTGATACGATATCATCTGGTAGTCCATGATATCGATACACATTATCGAGAAAGAGCCTTGCTGTGACTTCACTGGACGATGTCTTCTTGCAATGGACAAAGTGTGTCATTTTTGTAAGCCGATCTACCACGACAAAGATGCTGTCAAATGAGTTCGATGATGGCAGGTCCGTGATGAAGTCCATGAAAATTGAAGACCATGGTCGACGTGGAATCGGCAATGGCTGTAGGAGTCCATAAGGGCGATGTCGAGGATTCTTCAATCTTGAACAGATGTCGCAGGAGAAGACAAAATCTTTCACATCCTTCCACATTTGGGGCCACCAAAAATCTCGAGAAATAAGCTCCAAGGTCTTGTTGAATCCAAAATGTCCCGCACTTGGAAAATCGTGGCGAGATTGAAGAACTCGGAGTCGTGCTGGTCTTTTTGGGATATATAACCGTTCTTCAAAGTATAAAAGATCTCCCTCCACCTTGAACTTGTCATCATTGGCACGCTGCTTAATATCAATGGCTACTGAATCTTCAATGGTTACGGCACGTACCTGATTCAAGAAGTCAGCATCAATTGGCATAATAGTAGCGCAAAGCTGAAATTGCTCTGGCTTCAACAATGTCATACATTGTTGATCAAATGCTGCTTCTTTAGCCTTTGATACAAGATACGATCTCCTCGATAAGGCATCAGATAGTCCTTGCTACTTTCCAGGTCGATAAGTGATAATAAAATCGAACCTAGATAGCAACATACTCCATCGAGCTTGACGTCGATTTAGAACTCGAGCCGACATGAAATACTCCAAATTCTTGTGATCTGTATATACGGTCACTGGATGTGTAGCTCCTTCAAGAAAGTGACGCCATTCTTAAAAAGAATCCACTATAGCAAGAAGTTCCTTATCGTGGATCTCATAATTGATTTCAACAGCAAAGAACTTTCGAGAATAGAATGCAACCGGATCGAGCTTCTTATCTTCTCCCATTTATGAAAGTACAGCTCCCAAAGCAAAATCCAAAGCATCAATTTCTAAATAGAAGGCCTTTGTAAAGTCTGGATGTATCAAGATTGGAGCCGTAAAAAATGCGGTCTTCAGGTTTTGAAACGCCTTCTCTGCTAGAGGTCTCCATTCCAGCTTATCCTTGCATATCAACCGAGTGAGACGAGCAGCAACTTGAGAGTAATTCTTGATAAAGATCCAATAAAAGTTGGCAAAATCAAGAAAACATTGTACATCTCTAACCGTCTTCGGAACCTCCCAGGACACGATTGCTTCCACCTTCTTGGGGTCCATCTTCAAGCCTTCCGTAGTCGCAACGAACCCCAGAAACTCCATCTCTATTTGGTGAAATAAACACTTCTCCAACTTGGCATATAGTCCTCGCTCGCGTAGTTTCTCCAATATCAAACGAACGTGTTTTTCATGTACTTCCTCATTTTTGGAGAATATCAAAATATCATCTAAATAAATGACAACAAAATCGTCAAGGTATTCTCGGAAAATGTCATTCATCATATGTTGAAAGACCGCTGGAGCATTAGTAAGACCAAAGGGCATGACATTATATTCAAAATGGCCATACCTTGTACGAAACGCTGTCTTCCACTCATCTCCTTCTTTGATTCGTACGAGGTTGTAAGCTCCCCTTAGATCAATTTTTGTAAAGATCCTTGCTCGTCCAAGTTGTTCTAAGAGACCAAAAATCAAGGGTAACAGGTACCGATTCTTCTTTGTTACCTTGTTGAGGCCTCGATAGTCCACGCACATCCGCAACGAGCCATCTTTCTTCTTCACAAATAAGATGGGTGCTCCAGCTGACGATTTTGAATGACGGATGAAGTTCTTGGCTAGATTCTCGCCGATGCACTTCCGCAACTCCGCCAACTCCATCTGCGATAGATTGTAGATTGGGCCAAAAGGCGGTTGTGCTCCTTCCTGTAAGTCTATGGCGCAATCATATGGTCTGTGTTCCGGTAGCATGTCGGCATTTTTCTTTTGAAACACGTCTTTAAAATCCTTATATTGCTCCGGTATACTTGCTGTTGAGATCTTCTCCCCGGTAGTTGGAACCGCATAAATGACAAACGATGTGCCTCCCTTGGACAATCTTATAAATGCTCTTGCTCCAATAAATAAGGATTTCTCTATTCGGGGTTTTCTACTAGGCTTGCTCTTAGGTGGTTTTGTGGGAAAGGTCATCTTCCGCAACTTCCAATCTATGGATGGGTTATGCTTTTCCAACCAGGAAAGACCAAGAATAACAGGATTTGATGGGGTTCTAATAATATTGAATATAATATGACTACTATGGTTCTTAAACGTCACTTCTATAGGTTCTGTTTTATGGGTGACACTACCAGACAATAAAGGTCGTCCATCTATGACCTCAACGTAAACAGGTTTGGATTTTCGTACTAAAGGGATCTTATGACGCTTTGCAAATTCTTCGTCTAAAAAACAAGCAGATGTTCCTGAATCTAATAATGCTAAGATTCTCAGTTTCTGAGGGCCAATAAGCAAAAGGATTGTAAAACAAAGGGCAGGTTGAGCGGAAAGAGAGGAACCTGGTTGTTGTTGCGATATTTCACTGTCCAGCCGCACGATTCCTATTGTGGCTGGGCATCCTCGTTTTTCTGAATAAATGCACCCCTAGTCCTGATAATACATCAATTTTGCTTCTTGAGGCAGTTTCCAACTTTGTGGCCTTCTTCACCGCAATACAAGCATAGACCTTCCTCCATACGCCGCTTTTTTTCTTCTAGAGTAAGAGATTTGACACGTACCGCATCAATTTGCATGTCTTCTACCTCTGAATGTGAATTCACGCTGCTTGCCGACATAGTTAGGGTGTGGTGAACCGTATGTTGTCTTGAACGTTGGTCTTGGCGACGTTGGAATAGGCGGTTATTGCACTTCACAGCTTGGCTAATAGCTTCGTTGAGCGTTTGCGGATCAGGAAGAGTTAACAGCAAATCCTTCACATCGTCCCTTAAATTCCAATAGAATTGACTCATCAACGCTTCTTCGTCTCAATTGATGTCGCATGCTAATTGCCTGAACTCCGATGCATAGACTGATGTAGAACGCATTCCTTGTCGTAGTGACCGGATCTTTGTTGTAGGCCATCGAACCTTGTCGTATTCACCAAATGCTTCCGCAAATGCCTCCAAAAAGGTTTCAAAGTTGTTTAGTATGGACGATCGTTTCTCAAACAAAGGAGCAAACCTTGATAGAGCTTGTCCTGTAAGTAAGGTTCCAACAAGCCCAACACGTGACTCCTCCATTGGATAGCGTTCTGGCTGTAAAACTGTTATCAACCTGATTTGGTTGACGAAACCTTGAAACTTGGAATGTGTACCATCAAACTTGTCCGAAAGGCTAACTTGAGATTCTTTATGTTGTAGAACCAGCGGTGCTTGTCAAACCTGAGGCAAAGTTGCTTCTCCAAGTGTAGAAGTTTGAGGCTGGTGCAACCTAGATTGTGCCATCCCAGATGCTCCATCATTATGAAGCCTTGCCACGACTCCTTCAATCTCTGTAGTTCTTTGCGATAACGTAGCGAGGGCATTCATGATAGCATCTAACTTGGACTCTGAACTTTCCATCATACTAATGTCTTGGCCCCCGGCCATTCTAAGAGAAGGACAAAAATGACTCTACAAGAAGACAATATTGGTTTAGAGGAGGGTACTCTGCAACCTCTAAAATGCCTTAAGAGCTTCAAGAAAAGGGGTAATCCACTCTCTCCAAGAAGAATAAGATCCTAATATTATAACAAAAGAAGTATCAATTTAGAGGAGGGTAATCCGCAACCTCTAAAGTGCTAGTACACTTCCAAGCAGAGGGATAATCTACACTCTAACAAAGAAGAAACTAGCTCTGATATCTGAGGTGAATGAAGTCTCGACAAACTGTCACGGACACAGAATACAGACTTGATATCTACCAAGAAGTTCAAGAACAACTAGCAAGAACTAGATTAATCAGATGAATACAAGAACAACACCAGAGAAGTGAGCTAGAGCTCCAAGAGATGTGTTGTCGAGACTGAAGAACTCTTCAGCCTCGATCCCAATATATACTCCTATTTAGGAAGCTTCTCAAGCAACTTCTACCAACTAGGAAGTTTCTAGAAGGTTCCAGAGACTTGCTTCTAGAAGGTTCTAAAGACTATGTCCCTAACATCTTCTACCAACTAAGAAGCTTCTAGAAGGTTCCAGAGACTTGCTTCTAGAAGGTTCTAGAAGCTTGTCTCTAGAAGGTTCTAGAAACTTGTCTCTAGAAGGTTCTAAGGACTATGTCCCTAACATTATGTAATATGATGAAAACAACAGTGAATACAATATAATAACTAAATTCAAGAAGTTTGAAAGAGAAAAATAAAAATAAAAATAAAACCAAAATAACCAGGAGTTCGAAGCATATTATACAAAATTATACAAAAATTTGCAATTCAGAAAATAACACAATTTGGTGCAAAATAATAATGATAAATTTGTGCCTTAGAAAATTGAATTGAATTAGATTATTTATACTTATCTTTAAAAAATTAAACTAAATCATATATATATATATATATATATATATATCAACCAAATATAAACATATCAACCAAATATAAACATATCAACCAAATATTAATATTTCAACCATATAAACATATCAACCATATAAACATATCAACCAAATATTAATATTTCAACCATATAAACATATCAACCATATAAACATATCAACCAAATATTAATATTTACCATCAACTTTAAATAAATAAATAAAGTGGTAGTTTAGTTTAGACATTTGTTAAGTTTTGTACCCTAAGTTTCAAGGTCAATAGATTAGGGAGTTTTCATACACAGAAGACAAGATAAAAGGCTTCAACTTTTGAATCTTTGATTAGTTGAAATTAAGAAGCATCATAAAGTTAATTTTGTACTTAGAGAAATTGATTCAAAAGCTATAAGAAAAAGAAAAAGGAAATATGTAATCCATTTCTTTTTCCCTACATAGTATAAACAATATTGTCTCTCAATTTTTTGATAAACCCATGTCAAGAAGGGGTTTTTAGAAATAAATAAATAATATATATGTGTGTGTTTATCAAATTATTTAACATAAATAAATAAATAATGACTTAATATATTTTATGATCTTTTTTCATTTTGTATTATATCCAAAGACTAAGCCTTCTAAAGGAGAGTTTTTCTTCACCAAGCAAAGAACCTTTGTGAGGCTTTTGTACTATGGACTTATAAAGTGGACTTCTATATGTAAAGATCCCTTTTGTATATATATATATATATATATATATATATATATACATCTTTAAAAAATTATACATCAAATATTAATAAAATATTCAAATTTTATAGTTTTTAAAATATATTAAAATTTAAATTATACCTTAATGTTTATAAAAAATTGACATTATATTACATTTCTTTTTTCTTTATTTTGCAAGAAAAGATGTTGAATGCTTAAAAGATATATTAAATTAAAGAAAATCATCATTTTTATTTGTTATTAGTAAAGTAATTCTTCTTTGTTATAAGTAAGTAAAAATATAACTTTCAATATATATATATATATATATATATATATATATATATACATATATATATATAAAGTATTTTTAGACAATGCTAAAGAGAAATTATGGAGAAGATTAAATAAATAGTTAATAAAAATGTTTATCATATAATTAAAGTAGTACGTTAGAGCAAATACCCTTTAAAATCACCAAATTAATTAGATGAAGAAATTATGTTATAAACTAATATCCGATTAGAGATTTTTTTTTATAAAAATAGATAAAACATTGAATATTTTATCTCAAAAAGTTTCTTATAACACATTTTGGATTGTAAAGTATTCTTTAAACTTACAAAACTTTATGATTATCATGTATGTTTACTTATAATTTTTAATATTTTAAAATTTTTAGTAAAAATAAAAAGAATAAAAATTTATAAAAAAACATAATAAAATTTGACATATGTTACAAATAACATGTTAAATACAAAAATATAAAGAAATTAAAATATTTAACCTTATTTCTTTTATTTATAATATATTTGATTATATATATATATATATATATATATATATATATATATATATATACAGATATAAAATAAAAAATCAAGTTGAAAATTTTATAACTCTTGACATTAAAGTTGAACAAGCTTTAAATTTTAAAAAATAAGGAATAAATTATACACATAGAAATATTGGTAATGTAAAATAAACTTATACTACATTAACAAATAGAAGTAAATAGAAATAATTATAAATATAACAAGTGAATAATATCTTCCTCAAACACATTAAAGATGTCTTCTAATTACAAATTAGATCTATACATTATGTTAGATACATTATGTAACAATGAAAATTTAGATTAGAAGTTTTCTATCTTTAAGAAGCCACTAGAAAAGAATCTAACGTCTTGGATAATTATAGAAATTATATCAAAAATAAATATACCAATTTATAGAACAACAAAAAAAAATGATATATTTGTTTTTTAACATTTATTTTTTAAAACACATAGAAACAATACTTGAATGTATGTGAAACTTAAATATTTATAAATGACAAGTAATTATTTTTTCATTTTTTAATGTAAAATATTAAATTGACCCAGGTTTTTACTAAATCAACCTGACGATGATAAAAATAAACAAAAATAAATATGGTAATTATAATGAATATGATTGGTTTTCATCAATTTCAAATCCAATAGCAGAGAAATGAATCCAGAAGTCATTTTCTTTTCTTTTCTTTTCACGATGGTTAGGATGAGTGAGTCAATTTAGTATAAGCCTGGGTCTATTTAACATTCCCCTTTTTTACTTATATTTATAAAGAAAAAATATTTAAAAACTTATCGAGAACCTCTCCAACAAACATTGACAGGGAACGTGGAGGGGAACGGCGCCGAGGAGGGGGCGGGGCGGCCACCGGCAGCGCCGCGGCGCTTGCTACAATAACGGGACGAAGACGCCGCAATTGGGCGCCACACGGATCATTAGCACCCACGCCGCAAATTCTCACCTCTTCTCGCCCCCCCTCATCGCGTCCCATTGCCATTCATTCCATTTACGCAATCGGTGCCTGCCTGACTAAGTCCGCAAACACCATCATTTGGGACTCCTTTTGCACTCTCTCGCACTCTCTGCAGCTATTTCGGCGTCGACCAAGCCGCAGCCGCGCCCGTGCGTGCATTCGCAGCGCTATGGCAGCCAAGGTGCCGTTCTCCAAGCGATGGATCAAGCCTGAGGTACGGCGCAGCAGCGCATTTGGGTTTTTGCTGGGTCTGTTGGGTTTAAACGGTCAGGGTGTAGTACCTTAGAGTGAAGATTTTGGGTTCTGAGAGATGTGGGTTGCGGTTTTTTTTTTTGAGGGAATCCGTGGAGCTGCGCGCGTTTGTGGTTGTGTTTTGGAAGTGCGTAGGGTTTCTTTTCTTGGGAAGTGTGATTGTGGTGTGTTACCCGTTGGTTTGGTAAGGTGGGTGGGGGGGTGGTGAATGTAGTCTTCGTATTTTGAACCACTTAGGGTGCATTTGCCCTTCTCGAGCGTGAAGGGTTGGGTTGTTTCATGTGAGCTTGGGTTTTTAGGATGGGTGGTTTACATGCTTTGGTTGGGGGTGGTATGCAGGGCACGCAATTTCCTCATTAGTAGCTTGTTCGCTTTTCTTCCTGTATGGTGTAGCTCTGGTGTTCCCGAAATTCTTTTTCGTTTTCCTTATATGTCTGAAAAGTAGTGTTCAGCTGACAATCTAGAATTGAGAATGGGTTGGAGGGTAGTAGCTGGCTGCTCGATTAGGTCTGAGTTTTGAGAGGAGATCCTAACCAGTCGTGAAATGCAGATCTACCCGTTGTTTGCTGCCATCGGAGCAGCTTTAGGCATCTGTGGATACTCGATGGCTCGCAACCTTGCAATCAACCCTGATGTCAGGTGCTTATCTATGTATATACTTTTATTCTTGTTTTGGTCGTGCCAGTTCGGCACACTTATCACTGCAAGATAGAACAGTGCATGTTTAGCTATTGTTATACGTACATTGAGTACTTTAACCGCGGCTTTATATACCACAGCGCTCAGATACCCATGCCTTCATGTGTTTCTGTAGAATCACGAAGGAGGATCGGGCTGCGGGAGTTTTGGAAAACTACAAGGAAGGTGAAGCTTACAAAATGCACGGTCTTCGGAAGTACCTTCAGCAGCAGGAGCCGCAGATCATGCCTGGCATCAATAACTACTTTTCAGGCGCCAAGTAAGGACTTTGTTAGTCATGGGTATCGACGACTGGTTTACTAGTGCCCAAAATTTGTTTTGCATAGAACTCATCCACTTCGGGTTTTGTTGGAAGGTTGAGGTTATCCAAATTCAGCTGCTAATAATCCTCAAGCAACCTCCCAAACTGCATCCCGGACAGTGATTGTAGTAGAGCTTCAAAAACATTCATCTGTCATGGTTATTTGAATTCCACGAAATTCTTCAATATTGACAGAAACTTGGATTCCGCACATTAAAATCCGGCAATTTTCTTGTGTGCTCTCTCTCTCTCTCTCTCTCTCTCTCTCCATAATTCCAGTCAAATGTACCCGACTCCTTTTGAGCGCTTTAGTTTTGACCGAGGTCTGTGGTTGTTCCGATGGTCGCATGAATACAGTAGTCGCATTTTGTTAGCAATCCACAGTTGAGGTTGAGATCGTGGTAAATAGTGGGTTTCGTAGGTCTATTTGCAGTTGTGCTAAGCATGCTTGTTACAGACATGCTCCCCTTTTCAATTATTCATCAGATTGTGCACCTAGATAGCCTATGGAACTATTTTGCATTCTGCCAAGTATCAGTTTGGAGATCATCCCCCAATGCCTGCCGTAAATCTACGTTGTGGCTCTGAACAATTGCGGATGTAGTCTCCGGGAACATTCGAAACAATTATTATCTGATTGCTGATATTTGGGATGCCAGTTTATTTATTTATTTATATTTATTTTTCCAATTTTCCAATTTTTTTGTTTATGTATTGATCCCGGAGTGTGACCAAGTCAACATGTGTAATAATCCGACTTTTGGGCCTGTATTGATATCCATCTAATGGTGTTAGTAAACCCTGTGAAAGCATGTCCAGCTTCCACGTTTGCATACGCGAATCCTCGGCCATCGTAGGAGTCGGTTACGCGAACATGGAGTTCAGTGTGTGAGTTGACCATGTGGACATTTTACGGAGGGAACTGCTGACCGCCGCTGCCTCTTCCACAGAACCAAGAGAAGCCACGCTTACTTGCTCATCAATCGATGGATTGTGTTTATTATGACTCTGGATAGCAGATTTTCGCTGAATCAGCTCTAACTTTCAAGCTCAGCCAAACGACTATCAGTTATTTTCCCAAGCAAATCACAGACCTTGTGTTCGGCTCCACAGTATTTTTGATACTTGGCCATGAGGGTCGTTTTAGTATCTTCTTCACGTGTTGGAAGAGCTGGCAACTTTGGTATTTTCTGCCTGGCATTGGTTTTTTCTGCAACAAATTGATTGCACTGGGTTTTTCGATATTTTTTGTAAACTTCTTATTGAGAAGCCTGCGGCTTCGCTTCTTGTCCGTGGACTCAATTGATGGATGTTTCCACCGTTGGAGGTGTTGGTGCATCCAAAATTAGGGTTCTCTCAATCGCCAGGATGATTGGGACCTGTGTAGTGAACGGTGTGTGATCGCAGGTTGGAAATCTATAACCATGAAGCTTTGTTAATTTGATGTAAATGAAGCAGACTTTTCTCCTGAGATAGTGATTGGATCCGTATTACGTTTCAAATAAAAATAATTTTGTTATGTTGGATACATGAAGAAGCATTATTCTCTTGGTGTGATTTTCTCACCATGATGTATTCAGGTATTTAATTTTGCACAGTGCTACGATTGTTGTGCTATTGTGATTTTCATAGCAGAGCTAATATTCACTCATGTCAACCCAATGAGCTTTATAAACAAGTTCAACACAAAGGACTTCGACGATAGTGTTAGGTATCATACCCACCGTGCAAACTATTTTGTTTTACTTCACTTCATCTTTGTTTCTGTATACTTGGTGTAACATTGACTGAAACAAAAATGGAGATATGTAATCAGAACAAACCACCATTATTTCAAACCATACAATTTCCATTCTAAGAACTGTAAATATGCTCTGATTCTTTATCAATTTTTCCAAATCCGTTTTCGAAAGAAAACACGGGTCTCTCAACAGATGAAGCAGTGAAAAACGATAACAGACAGTAGAACTGATGAGAAATGTACACGATGTAGAAGGAAAACAATGGATTACACCGAAAAAGAAGAGAGAGAGATGAAGGAAAAACGAGAGCAAGAGCGCTTCTCACAAAGCAATGAACAAGCGCAGGCAACGCAGAGGAACCCACCTGAAGCCAAACAAAAGGGAATCCAGCAAAACGAAGAGGGACCCTCTTCATCTTCCTCATCCCTACCATCACCCACACCTGGTATACCTAATTCTATATCATTATTTTAACATTTATATATATATATATATATATATATACTCATATCTTCAAACATGTATTTATTTAAATATATACACACACACACACCCCCATTCCTAGACACTCACTCTCCTCTCGTGTGTGTGTATGTATATATATATATATATATATATAGATAAAAACACACACACACAGACTGCCTTAATTAATTAATCAATCAATTATATATATATATATATATATATATATATCACTATGTGGTGTTTATGTATATATATATGTTTATGTATATATATATATATATATGCCTCTGTAAGCAAACATACATGGTCAATGTGTACCTGAGAAAGTTTTGCTGTAAAAAACTAACCTAATTTTTAGGAACATTTGGATGTTGAAACCAAATTGACCAGCCTGCATTGGGTGTTTTATTCTTGAAATTATAATAAGATAAAATTTTGAAAATAAAATAATAAAAAACTTCTAAAAGGATTTTGACACAAGAAAATTAAACTTGTGAATAAAAATATTTTTTATGTTTTTATCTAGTGTGTCTATATATATATACATATATATATATATATATATATATATATATATGTTTAGTACTTATTTGGAAAAGGAATGATATATATGTATAGGAGCTAAACCTTCAAAACCCTCGATCATTGATTGGACTTTTTTGGATAATGAATACTCGGACCCATCATCTCCCCTTGCTACCAAAAAAGAAGCTAACGTCCAAGAGACCCCATTTGTTGCACATGAAGTGTTGCCAACCCACTCTATGCCACTAAATGATAATATGCAAATGGAAAGTGTTCAATTGGGAACATCATCAAATGTTGAAGGGCCGAAGGTTCAAAGCCGGCGTGGATCATTATCTGTCATTGACACCATCAAAACAGCAATGTATTCAGTTTATTCATTTTGATTTTTAATGCTCTAGTTAAAATGAAAATAAATAAAAATAAAAATCATATTGAAATTATAAGAGTACTTGTTGATTTTGTGCTTTTGACTGTTTACTTTTTCTTTTGATAAAAAAGTGTGTTTGAACATCCTGATTTGCATTACAAAATAAAAATGCATAATTAACAAGAATGTGTGATTTTGTTTTAAGGGAAAATAGAATGAAAGCGGAAGATCCAGAAGATGAGCCAGGGTTTCTGGAAAGGAATCCGACATGGGAGGATTCATTGGAACCCACAAATCTAAATGAAACCAAAAAAGAAGAGCAAGAAACTGAACATGGGAAGTTGCAAAGAGCTTTTGCAGCCATGGCAAATGCAGATGGAGGTGTTACTATTACCAAACATACCACAGTTGCTGCAAAACGATGGAAGAATGCCTACCTCACACTCAAAAGGCTTTTGGTATATACATACACTCATACATACATACATACATACATACATACATACACATACAACAAAAAAATTCTTATATAGAAATATATCCATATATATATATATATATATATACACACACACACATATATTAAAATTTAATATAACATTGAAAAATAGTGTGTCTATGTGTGTGTATATATATATATATATATATATGAATTATTATTATTTTTTTAATAAATGTATTTTTTTTGTAATTTGATGTGTGTGCACTCAGGCTCTTAGAAAATTGGAAAGGACAAGTAGAGTTGGGCCTGGAGCTGAATTGGATGGCCGCTCATTAGGACTCTTTCCAGTCAAAAATCCACTGCGAAAGATTATTTTCAAACTAATGTTCTCTCAATATCCACCAAAAAAACACTCCTTTGAGCTTAATTATTATTTAAAATTATTTACTGGAATCAATTAATGTTGCTTAAAAAATAAATCCTTTCAAAATCCATTGTCACAACTGCATTTATCTTTGAAATCCTTTCAGTATGTGTGAATATATACATATGTTTTACATTTTAGAACACATGATTGAATTGTTTTTTTTTAGAAAATTGACAAAACTTAAGTTAACATATGTTTATTAAATTAAAAATAAGGAGGATTTGAAATTTAAATATCTAACACAATCATATATTTTGTTAAGAAGAAAAATACATGAATTAAGTATCAACTTATCAAATTCACGTACTATAACCTTTTTCAATAAATTACCATATAACTAAAACTATAAATTTTATTTTGACCTTTGTAAAACCATACAAAGTTTATTGTAGAAAATTATAATTTAAAAATATTCTATACATATTCAACATAAACAAAATGAATATAATTATTTAAAAAATAAAATATTAATAATTAGGGTAATTTAATGTTGAGAATAAAAAACTAAAAAAATAATGTTAATAATTTAATGTTGAATACGTATATACAACAATTTATCCTTGACTCAAAATTACAAATGCTGAATACTGCCTTCTTATTCTTATCACCGCTCATCTTGTGATTCTCATTCAAAAAGCTACTACAAACCTTTCAGTGGAAGTCAAAGATCGTCTTGTTTTAGCAGATTTGGTTATAACAATTTTGTACACGTATGTGTTGTCAATGTTTTAATTAATGTAAAGAATATGTAATTTTTTAATTATTATTAGTACACCATTTTCATGATTTTATGATGACATTCTACAAAATGTATTTACTTTGAAAACATATGCTTTCAAAAATAATTTATAGTTTGTTTTGTGTAGTGTTGAATGCGTACTACGTATTTTCACACTAGGCTTTATAAAAGGCCCTCACTCATATATGAAAAGCAACTACAATAAACTTGATTTCATTATTGTTGTTGATTCTTGGTAAATGCTCTCTATACTTAAATATCACTCTTGAAAGTTGGTTTTTTTACTGTGATTTCTTAAACATTTTATATATATATATATATATATATATATTCATTTGATGGATGAGAATGCTTCTCTGAAAATTCATAAAAAATTCTAAAATTTTTTGTATTTTAAAAATATCATTTAAAAAATAATCTAAAATTAACCATTACAATCTAAATCCAAAAACAGGGTTCACATTTATCAAGCCAAAAAGGGCAACGATGGCTTTTTCCGATTTGCTTCATTACGTGCTTTTCGAGCACTATTATCACTTCGCCATTTTTCATTTTTTGCAAATGTCATAGTGAGTACAGTAGCTATGTCATACCCACATTTAATATTTTTTTGAAGTAATAATAAACAGTGTCTTTATAATCCCATTTACTGTAACCACAGCACATTTAACTACAAAACACTATTATAGTTTCTATTGTATTCAATATTTATTTATTTTAAAAATGTTATATGAATATTTAATTTCATGTATATCTATCTATATATATATATATATATATATACATATATATTCATCTTCAAGATAAATGTTGTTTGAATAACTCATCTCATTCAAATGTTGGAAGGCTATAATGGATGCTTGTCAAGGTAGTCTTGTTCCACTTGGAAATGTATTGATTTTTATAGCAATGATTTTTTCATTCTATGCCTTAGTTGGTGTACACTTTTATGGTGGAAAATTTAAATCAAGGTAACATTGTATACATGTACATGTGTAAATAAAACTTGTCTATTAATAGAAAAGTATATCTAATTCCAACATACAATACATACAAAAATATACATATCAATGTATTGAGTAGTGAGAAATTAATTTTAATATTAAAATAGAAATAATATGTATATTTAATTAATTTATTTGAATTCATTCTTCATTTAGGTGCATACGTAAAGAGGATGGTACTCTACCATATATGCAAGAGTTTTGTGGTACAAAAGGAAAAGATTGTGATGGCAATACAACCATAGTTTCTTACATGAGTACCTTTTGTGTGAAAGGCCTTGAATGCAAAGGAAATCTTACTATAGCAAATGGATCTAGTGGACCCCATGAATGTAATGAAGTAAGTTATTAGTAAATAAAATAATTTATATGTGTATGTATGTATGTATATATGCACATATAAATAATCATTATTTATATGATATTTTACTTTATAAACATATGTATTTTTTCATCTACATGTACAATACAATTAGTTTCCTACATGTGCAATAATATATATATATATATATATATATATGATTTTTTAATGTATTGATGTATTTAAAATGAATCAATTTGATTGTCAATTTTAGCAAGTTGTATACAAAATAATTTATTTTCTTTCATGTGATTTAATTAGAAATTTGGTAATCCAAACTATGGGGCAAATAATTTTGATACATTTCCACAAGCTATTTTAATGCTCTTTCAGGTTCAATCAGACTAATGACTATACATATGTATGTATACATGTAGTTTTTTTAAAAAGCATTTTAAATATACTTTTCAACATACATGTTTGAGCATTTGTTGTTTTTACATCATTAAAAATTCTTGTATCATGTTCATTTCAATAAATAAATAATAATCATCATCATAAAAAACTCATAATCACATCATTTTCATTTGACATTAAATGGATTCCATCATTACTTTGAATTAAATTTTTTTAAAGTTGTTTTGTGATATTATATTCATGGTAAAAAAAAATGCTACTTGTGTAAACATATACATACACGTATGTATTAGAACTTACATCATACTATTTGAATTGCTTTGAAGATTGTGACATTTGAAGGTTGGGCATTACAAATGTATAATATGCAAGATAGTGCTGGATTAAATGCAGGTAGTTCACTTTATACTAACTTACATAATAATATACACTAAAAGTAACAATTGCAATTGGATAAAAACTCAAGTTAGCATCATTCCAATTCATGAGTAATTTAGGTTATTCCACATAAGATATTTTCCTCACTTTATTTAATATATTAATGTATTTATCATTACAAGCATTACCTTATGTGTATATGTATATACACACACACACACACACACACACACACATATATATATATATATATATATACACTTTACCATTAATATTATGGACACCCAATAATGTTTGCTACCAAAAAGATAGAAATAAAAATTAAAAAAACAAAAAAGTGTTAAAATGCTCTATGTGTTTTAATTTTTTAAAATGAACTTTATGAAAAAAATACGTATTTCTATTACTAACATTAGACAATGAATAACCATTGCTGATGGATAGAGATTTATTTCATTGTGATGGTTATTATTGGAAGCTATTTTGCTGTGAATGTTTGTGTTGCTGCTATAAGTGGAGTCTTTATCCGAGTTCGACATGAACATCAGGTTATTATTATTATTATTATTATTATTATTTCCATTATACTAGTTTTCATTTCATTTTATATTAAAGTGATCACTAGTGCTGTAATTGTATTACACATTATCAATTGAAATCCTTCTGTAATTGTAGTTTTCTTGTAAAAATAGAGTTATTGCAACAACTATGATTGATGACATTATATTGTCACATTATAATATTTTGGGGGAAATTAGTGTAATTTTAAACATTTCTCTGATCTAGATATGTCAAGTGATAAGTATTCTATTCATACTTATGTGAGTTTTTTTTTTTTTTTTTTTTTTTTTTTCATTTATAAACTTTTAATGTTGTTTTGACATTAAAAATATTATTATTTGCAAATATATAATATGGTTTTGACATTGATAGGTTCTTCTCAAAAAGCACAAACGAGAGCAAGCATTCACATTTCACAATGCCATTATGTTAGCAAATGTGTTAAAAGATGTGATTAGAAAAGATGATGCAAAGTTATCATGGTTTGGATTGGTACGGAGAAAAACGGGATCATTCAACCAAAATGTCACAAAATTTATTCGACAAGGTACCAAAAGGATATCAGCCATGTCAAATCAAGGACAATCATTTTTGAAAAGGCAAATTAGTAGGGGAGCCTCATTCGGAGCTCGTGACTCGGATTCCGACTTTGAAGATGTTGATGAGAATGAACTTGGTGGATCATTCAAAAAACCAAAGTCCTTCAAAACCAATAAAAGCATGAATCGAAGTATGAGTCGAAGCCTAAGCCGAAGTTTGAGTAGTGGTGCAAAGAGCTTTACACGATCATTATCAAAGAACACTCACAAAACTGCTCATCATGTGCATGCCACTCTTACAGCAATTGTACGGAGTCAATTTTTTAGACTCGCCGAGCTTACACTCATCACCACCAATTTCATTATTCTTTGTTTCATCACCGCCAATATGTCCAGAAAAACTGAAAATAAAATTCGTATCCTTTACTTATACATGTTATGTGTTCTATTAAATACTATATATGTATGTAAAATTCTCCCCTGCATGATTCTTAATTATGAGAGATGATTTTTTTATTATTATTATTATATTTCTAGTGCTAATTTAACACTAATTTCTTAAGAACATTCATCAAGGATATTACAAATTGCATTTTTGGTTGAAATGGGTCTCCGAGCTATGGCACATGGGTGGAAAAAATACTTCCAGGATTGTGAGTTTCATCTCATATTGCAATAATCTGTCATTATACATTAATGACTGTTTATAGAAAGTAGATTTAAAAAAATACTTATATTTGTCATAACAAGAAGTAATCCTTGAAGACTTGTGTATTGACAGCTATGAACATACTGGATATAGTTGTGGTAGTTGTTTCACTCCTTAGTAGCGCATCAAGTAAACTGCCAAACATAAGCGCTGTAAGATTGTTAAGATTTTTCCACAGCCCGAGAAAACAAAAGTTTGGCAAGTCTGATGAAACTCCATCACCATTGGTACACTTTATTTTGGGTTTTGAATTTTTTTTTTGAAAATATATTTAATAATCAATATTTTGTTTTACAATGTTTGAAATACACATAATTTTAGAAAAATAATTGAAGCTTGTTTTATTTGAATTACTCAAATAAGAAATATGTGAGCTTCAAACAAAAACATGACATATGCACAATGGACCTTATAAAAATCAACTCTTAAGATTTTATTTTATTTTATTTTATTTTTCATTCTTTGTAAGTTTTAAATTATAGTCTTTCCAAGACTCTTGTAACAATATTTATAAATTTTTAATTGATTTTTCAGATGTTGTGCCTGAGGAGCTTCAACATATTAGGGAGCTTATCATTTTTTTACATGATAGTGACAATTGTGTTTAGTATAATAAGTATGGAATTGTATAGTGGGCAGTTTCAAGTATTTCCAGAGGGCAATCCACGTGAGAACCATGACTCATTTGGAAGTGCTCTGCTCACATGGTTTGGGGTCTCAACTGGAGAAAGTTGGATTAACCAACTTTGGAATGCCATGCGCCCCGAAGTTCGTTATAGGTTCACAATTATACACACCCAAATAGATAGATATATATATATATATATATATGTTTATTAGTAGAAACTTGTGCTGTTCAGCACCGCAATCTCTAGCATATCCATCCATTTCCTTGTTCTTCCACGCTCCAATCAAAAAACTTCTTTGTCTATTTGTGTTATATCCAAGCTATCTTATATTATATGTATATTTGAGGGTTATATATTGAAAATTTTATTTGAGTTGTAAAATTATGTGAAATATAATTATAAAAATGTCACTAAAAATACTATTATTTTGAAGGAAATATTGATAATTTGATTTTTTGAAGAGAGATTGATTTACTTATTAATCTTTTGAAATTGAGAAAGTTAGAGAAGTAACAATGCCATGTGGGTGTGTGTGCAACAGGTGGATATCACCTTATTTGTTTATTTGCTATTTTATTTTAACAACATACATATTGATTAACCTTATTATTGCAGTATTACTTGAAAGTACAGAACTTACAGATAATCAAAAGAAAGCCATTCAAAAGGTACAAAAAATAAAGCATTGTGGCTTAACTAGGATTTTCCAATTCATATATTTAATTTTAGCATCATGTAAAAATTAAAATTATAACAAATGAACATTGAACCAAATATTGGTAAAAAGAAAAAATCAAAGACATTATGTTCAAATTTCCACATTATATAATTGACTACTTTTTATAACAAAACAAGTATTTTTTCTATAAAAAATCTTAGTCAAATCTTATTCAATTTTATTTGATAATTTTACATATGATTGCATATACAATAATACTTATAAAAATTAATCAATTAAGATAAGAAGACCAATTTGTTAAAATTGACAGCGTGAATATTTGAAATACTTGCGAGCAACACACACCCATGCAAAATCAATAAGAACGGGCGATTGGTTGATTGGTGCCATTGAAGGCATCCAAGCAAGAGTGCGTCGAATCTATCGAAATCTTAGTGTCATGGTCCCCGTTTCCAAGAGTGTGAAACATGTGAGCATTCCTTTGTTGGAGAATAAAATTGCATCACAAATGGACACAAGATCACCAAAAAATGAGGGCTACCAATATAATCAAGATGATGCAATAAATAGCCAAGATTTTCTTGATAATCAAGGATCTTCATCCACATCTCTTAGTGAACCACAACCAAGCACTCCATTACATTCCATTTTAGAAATGCCTGAGATAAAAAAGAAAATATATTCCGAACAATCTATTGCCGCAAAAGACAACAAGCTGCTTCAAAGAAAACACTCGTCGTTTGATCCCGGTTTGATGATGCAATCAAATGCTTCAAACATTACTCCTATTGATCAACAAAGTAGAGATGCGATTCTACGTCGAAGTAGCTATAATGGTATTGGTGGGCATTCAAGTCGGCCTCGAAGGTTAAGTAAAGATGCAACCCAAATGTTGGTTGGGGCAGGTTTTTCTAATACAACAACTCATCAAGATTTTAGAGAAGAAAAGACAGCCCTTCAAAGTGCCATGTTGGCACTAGCACACAACCTTAGCATGCCATCTTCTCTTCCACTTGATGATGACATTGATGCAAACCAACATTTGTATACAACTAAAGAAGGTGAAGATGATCGCCATCCTTCACCTAAATCTAAAGTGGATTTGTACCATTCCTTGTCTATACAATCATTTAAAGGATCAAGTAAAAGGACATCGTTTAATATAAAAGATTATGAAGGATATAATATGAAGTATAGACAAGTTCCTTGGTATTTCTCCGACAAGTCTCTTTTCATATTCAAAAGTGATGGTCCAACTCGTAGATTTTTGGTTTTTGTGGTTGAAAATATTTGGTACAAGCGTTTCATCATGATATGTGCAATTATTGCCGTTTATATTGTGACACAATTAAATCCGGCTGGATTCATTGACAATGTTTCCATTGATTTGATGGATCGTTTCCTACTATTTGTAAGTCACAATACATTTTTTTGATAAATCCTTGCACAATTTATTTATTTAATTTTTAAAATTTCAAATATTTAAAAATATTATGCATAAAATTAATAAAAAAATCAAACAAATATTTTATTATATTTTTTGATAAAGATTTATACTCTAACACAAATTTGATGTATATAGACATGGACGTTAGATGTTGTAATGAAATCTATAGCATATGGAGTCATATTCACTCCGGAAGCTTACTTGGGTGATCCATACAATATAATTGATGTTGTAAATATGTTTTTCCAATGGGTGGGATTCAACCCTCCTTCGGAAGCTTATAGCCGAGTGGTCCACATTATGAACACTATTCGGGGAACACGGTTCATTCCTAGAATCCAAGGGTTACGATTATTGGTGTCAAGCATGTTGCATACAATACCTGCAGTGGCATCTATGTTTGGATTCATTCTTGTTATATATTTCATATTTGCAACAATAGGCATTCAAATATTTCGGCGCCGTTTTGCTGCATGCACGGACCCATTTGTTGCAAATCGAGCACAATGTGTGGGCACCTTTATCAATGAAGTTGGATTAAGAAGCCACCGGGTTTGGATGAATCCGCCATTACACTTTGATAATTTTGGATCAGCAATGTTGGCACTCTTTGTTTGTTCAACAACTGATGGTTGGATCCAATATTTTCTTCACAATTCTGAAGACATTCCCAACACTTTGTATGATAATCCAGTTCAAGGCAACAAATCAATAAATTCAATTTTTTTCATTCTTTTTATTATTATTAGTAATTGGCTTGTGATTCGGTTGTTGATTGGAGTTTTTATTGATCAATTTGGTATCATTTCTGGATCCAAGTTGTTGACAGAGCGCCAAAAGTTATGGAGGGACATGAATAGAATTGTACAAAGTTTGTCGCCCATAAAGCTACCAAGGATTCCAATCAATTCAGTTCGACGAGCATGTTACAAATTGGTGCATGATTCCAATGCATATCGGTATTGCATGATTTTAATTATTTTGACAAATTATTGTTGGTTTGCATCCCAACATTATGATGTGCATCAAACAAAGACAGTACAAAGTGTGGAGATGGGGTTTGTAGCTTTCTATTTGGCTGAGGTTGTTGTTAAATTATTTGGAAATCATGTAAGTAAAATATTCACAATTTATACAAGTTTTTTTTTTTTTTTTTTTTTTTTTTTTTCTCTCTAAAAAATAACAGTATAAAACCTCATGTATATACATTGTTTCATCTAGTCTTTTTAATTAGATTGCATTTTATACACCTTTGAGCTCATCAGTTTAGGTATATATATATATATATATATATATATATGTGTGTGTGTGTGTGTATGTATGTAAGTGAAATTTTATTGATGAGAGTAAAAATAATTAAAAAATTTGAAACAAAAATTCTATGAAATGCACATTACTCTTGATTATATTATAAAATACTTATTTACAAAACTTTTTCTAATTCATAAAACTGATGCGCTTAATTGAATTATTTTTTTCCATTGAATTGTAGTTTCACGATTGGTATCACGACACATGGAATGTGGGAGAATTAATTCTTGTATTAGGATCATCAGTCTGCCTATACCCAGATGAGGGCTCCGTAATGGCTGAATGGGGAATCATGTTTTATCTTTTTAGAATCTTTCGAATTATTAGATTTCTACCAAATTTAAGTGAACTAGTCCACACTGTATTAGTGAGTTTGCCCTCACTAATTTATGTTGTAGAATTACTAATGATATGGCTCATTGAATTTGGCATGATTTTCTATCAAACCTATCCGTATATAAATTCCGGCACATGTGTCAATAGAGATGTGAACTTTGAACGGTTTCTTCCCTCTTTCATATTTAGCTTTCAGGTGAATTTCTCCTCAATACTTTTTACAACACAATATGAAAAACAAATCTCTAAAAGTACACATACATTTATATATATATATATATATATATTTGATAAAACAAAACTAAGATATTTAATTTTTAAATTTACTGTCTTTCATTCAAATAGAAAAACCTGAATAACTTGTGTATTTTGATAATAAGAATTGTTTTTCTAAGATAATGAAACTATATATTTGAATGGCATAGGCAACTACACTTGATAATTGGTCATGTGTGATGTTGGAGCTTATGGCAGAACCACCATATTGTGTATCATCTCATGGATACCATGAAAGTTCATGTGGCACAGCCCAAAGTGCAATTGCATACTTTGTGTTGATTGTATATATCATGTCACATATCATCACAAATTTATTTATCGCTCAAATCATTGACACAATTACATTTGGGCTGTTAAATGAAGATGCCATGTTATCACCTAAAAATCTGACACATTTTCAATTACTTTGGGCTTCATCTGAGTTTGATCCACTGTATGAATGTTTTCCACAAAAATATATACCTGGGTTTTATACAATAATAATAGAATAGAATATATACTATAAATTTTCAAAAAATGTTTATATTTAGTGATATGTGGAATTCTAAATGATAAGAAAATTCTCAAAGTCATGTTGGTACTAGATTTTCTTGAAATATCAAATTTGCAATGTATTTTTTTAAAAATGGGAAGTTGTTTCAATGAACATGTTTTTAGAATTACTGCTAATTCGTGTATTTTTGTTTACTTACAAACTTGTGTAGGAAATATTTAAAAATAAGTATGGTTAAGATTCTTAATTAATATTCTATTTTGTATTTAGATTATCTACTAAAAAGACTAGTATTATTCTCTGATAAGTTATAATCTGAGTGCCAAAATAATTCTAAGCCAATTATTGTGAATAATTTCAAATACTTTATCTCTTTCTCTTGTGAGCAGATGTAGTGGTTATATTGGTTTGCAAAAATTGAGACACTTTGTCACTAAATTGGGAACACCGCTTGGTCGTCGACATAATACCCCCACAAAATGGCAAGAAACATAACTTAGTATTTTAGATTGTAAAATATAGTAGCATTTTATACCCATTAAATAATAGTTGTGGATAATTAAAATGTATTATTCACTCACAGTGGTATAGTGTATTCACAAATTCCATTAGATAACCAAATTGTTAATACTAAATTCATCAAGTTTCAGATATCAGATTAATAACAATAATAATAATACTTAATTTTATATTGGAAACTTATCCATTCCATCAATACAATATTCTGACTTAAACAGATGCTTACAGGTATAGATTCATTCAATATGAAGTTTATAACTTTCATGTTTATGGCAAAGGAATTCCATTTCGCAATTTCTTGGAGACCCTTGTTTTATACAAAATTGGGTCCCAAGTAAGTGGCCCACCATTTGAAGCTTCACAACAATCACTTTCATGCAAAGGACTTTTTCTTCTTTTTATTCATATATATATATATATATATATATATATATATATTATTTAATCTTGTCTTTAGTAATACAAAAATTTAGAATAATAAAAATCAATAAAAACAGGGGCTCATCTTATCACTACGTATTGAACGTGAAAAACAACTCAAGCAAATATTTAGAAATGGTGCAGCTATAGTGATCCAATCACATATTAGAAGATTCCTTGTACAAAGAGGTTTCATAGTTTCACATCCAATGAAAATTGCTCCCATTATAAAAGAAGAGGCTTATGATGATTATGCTGAAGATAGCATTGAGAGATTAAAGAAAAAAATAATGGCAAGATTAAAAGTGGTATTAATCACTGGATATTAACAAGTTACAAAATGTATGTTGGATCCCATCTCTACTAATATTACTTTAAGTTTTATTTTTTGTTCAAATTCACATCTAATGTAAACTTAATGTACTAAAAGTTATGTATGTCTATATACTAATTTCTTTCCTTGAACGATATTGTTTCCGCATTTTTTCATTCTTTGAAATTAAAATGGTTTTTATACAATAATTATTTTAATTTAATAGAGCAATATTTTTCAATTTTCAAATAAATATTTTACATTACTTAGCAACCTGAACTTGTGTTTACAAATTTGGACATTCTAATTTATTTTATAAATGATTGTATTTTTATATTTAGACTTCTTTAGGTATGATTGATAATGAGTGTTTATTAATAATTCTGGTATTTGCAAGTCTAATTACAGATATTTTGATAAATAAAGGAGAGTTACTGCATCAAACAATTTTTTCTTAGCACCCATGTGTCACCAGGTATCATTGCTTTTGAATTATTACTCTTTCTAAGTATATCATAAAATAATCAAAATGAATAATTCTTTAAGTAAAGAATTAAAGTTTCTTCTTCTTCTTCTTCTTATTTTTTTTTTTTTTTTTTATCATTTGTGAAATGCAGAGTTATCATCTAGGACCTGTCAATTTTAGAGAGGACAAAAATATCAAACACCATTAATACATAAATGGAAGAAACATGGTATTCTGGTTTATACAATACGTTCACTGCAAATGTTGAAGATTTTTGTTTTGAATAAGATAATTAAAAAATAATAAAATCATAGTCTTCATTGTAGTTAAAATACAAAAATTTTGCAAAATAATTTGGATATGTTAGTAGGATGGAGAGATATTTTGATGTGAGAGATAAAGTTTTTGTTATGACACTCATGAATTTTGATAAAAATATAAGTTGAACTTTTTTAATAAGGATTTTTTTCACCAATTAATTAATATTATGAATACCTATATTTGAATTTTTTCATAGCACATATTTCTTTATTTTTTAAAAATTAGGCATAAAACTACAACTTATTCCACACTCGCAATTAGAGCATTTATTTTTAGTACAATCAATTTTAACTTTTATAATATTGATTTTTTAAAAAAATCAAAATTATAATAGCAGAATTTGATTTATATGATTTTATTCAATAGTGGTGGTGGTGGTGGTGTATATATATATATATATATATATATATAGAAGTTAACACTCATTCATGTGCAGTTTATGTTTGAATGAATAATTTAGAACATTTGAAATATTAAAATACCTCAACATGGAATTAAATATTATATTTATGTATTTTAATGAATGTTTATTATTGTTGTTCTCATTGTATTCAAGCTTCAATATACCAAAGCAATTGAACTAATAGAGGTGGGTTCGAACACGAGAAAAGACTGGTTATATGAATTGGGTCTATTAGTGTCACAATTGACTATACTCTGGCTATCTAAAATCAATTATCAAACTACAAAACACCAAGGCTTACTAATTTTGTCTTAATTCAATACATAATCCATTCTACGAATATCAATTCAACAATACTTCCAAATTCTTATCAGTTCATCTCCCACTTACTCTCTTTGCAGTTTATATATATATTTAATTACTTATCTCTAGCTTACTTATTATATTCAATTTCTCAATTCATCACACACAATTCAATATCTTCACTTAACACAACACAATTCGATAATCTCAATTCTCAAGGTCACAGATTTTCTCTAAAACGGTCAGTTTAAAGTCATATTTTATGATATTCTAATCAAGGTTTCAATAACACTTCTCTCAATCACAATTCTTTATAAAAAAATAATAAAAGTAAAGAAAATAAAGAAGTCGTACTAAGCTCATCCTAGCTTATGACTATCACAGTGTGGCCCCCAGACTAACTTCTCAGTATTCAGAAACTATCCATTACTCTTCAACAACAAAGAAACAAAAAGAGACAAAGAGGTAGCACCAAGCTTATCCCGGCTTATGACTATCATAGTCTGGCCCCAATCTCCCTTTTCTCAACCTCTTTATCCTATCAAAAGATGAAGTCTTGGCTAGCAGATTTCAAATATTATGATCCTTTGAATTCTTAACCATTTGTTCCACTAACAACCTACTATTATCAATTAAACTATCTAATCATAAGTCTAATTCTCAAGGTTATCAATAACCAATCAATAACTTACCACAAAATTTATTTACACATTCTATATAACCCCACTCTTATCTATGTAGCGTCTTTACAAACATTATTTAGCATCAACTTATAAAGACGTAGCAGCGTTGACAACTTTAGTCTATGGCATTGGCTGCCACCCTTTGAATTGGTGACTTCCTCCTCTTTATATCTTCAATGGTCGAAGGTTCTCTATCCAAATACGCCGTCAGATTTTTATTTAACAAATCCAATTCTCGTACTTGAGACCCAAGTCGGGCAATTTGGTTGTTGTGCTCTTCAAAAATCCTACTAATTCTCCTTAGTCTAACAAACATCAAATCGGATCGACTCCATATCAGTCACAATAATGGTGGCAATTCATCCTTGCACCTTATATTGCGTTGTTTCTCCTCCCTATTCAACTGCCTCTTAGTCTTCTCAATCACCATTGTATTCTAATACAAGCAAGCACTCACAACTAATCTCTCAAAACACACATACACAGTTGCTTATATAAAAGAAAACACGATACTTATCAAGAGCCCTCTTCGTATTTCTTATTATGGTCAAATCAATTGGATTGACTCTCCCTTATTTTCTATGATTTGTCATGATGAAATAAGCTATCATCATTATTATTTATCTTCCTCCCTCCTTTTATAATAGAAAACCCGTCTCGACTTTATATATAGTAAAATTTAAGACAATTGCTATTGATCCGTGTCGTAAATTTAGTACCCATAAAATCTTCCAATTGCATTGAATCATTTGAAAATCCGTCAATAACTCAATATGGCCCATGTCATTGAACTTGAAATTTTTCTGGAAAATTTTTAAATGGACTATTATAAAGAAGTATCAAACCATTTGGCATAAAAGCCTTTCGTCAAAGCTTACTATCATAATAAGTCTTCTTTTGTTATTGTATAGTTTCCATTATTATTAATGCATTGGCTCTAGTTTCATCTAATTTTTTTAATTCTTCTAAATGGTGCTGTAATGAATCATGAACTCCCAATCTATTATCTATAGCAATTCGTAAACTTTGGACTTCCAATTCAATAGGTAATATTATTTCTTGGCCATAAACCAATTAAAAAGGAGTAGCATTGGTAGTAACTTTATACGCAATATGGTATGCCCATAAAGCTGCGAATAACTTAAAGTCCCAATCTGTTTCCGCTCCTGAAACTATTTTTGTTACGATTTTACATAAAATTCTATTAATCTTTTTCATTTGTCCATTGACTCTAAGATGATACAGTGTAGTCTTCTAATGTTTTATCTCATATTTAGCCATAAGTGCTTTGATTATACTATTTATAAAATAAATTTCTTGATCACTAACCAATTCTCATGGACAACCGAACCGTGTAATAATATTTTCATACAAAAGGTTTCTATTGTACTTACGCTATCAGTTTTTGTAGCTATGGCTTTAGTCCATTTTGTTACGTAATTCGTTGTTACCAGTATATACTATTTTTTTTCATTTCTTGACGATGGTACAATTGGTCCCACAAAATCAATTTCCCATTTTTCAAAAGGCGCTTGAGCCAAAATTGGTACAAGTGGCATTGCTGAAGTTTCATTAAGTCGATCCATTCTCTCACATGGGTCACAATGTCAGATAAATTGGTGGGCATTTGTAAACATTATTGGCCACCAATAATCAGTTTGTAAAGCTTTATAAGCCATGCTGTTTCACTCAAAATATCCACTACAACTGTCCAAGTGGCAACCTTTCAATATAGTACTCACTTCAGTTTGATAAATACATCGTCGTAAAACTCTATTCTTGCCTTGTTTATATAAAGCTTCACCAATCATCATATAAGGTACACATTTTAATATTAAGCATCGTTTAAGCTTTTCATTAAAATTAGGTGGGAGGGTTTGAAATGTCAAGTATTGAATTATTTCACTATACTCTAGAGTAATTACATCTACCATAAAGAGTTTTGCATTGGGTAGTGCATCATTAATGGGTTCATTATCCAATATATTGGATAACCGAGATAAATGGTCCACATTGGAATGTGATTTTTTTGGTCTTACCTGAATAATAAAGTCAAATTCTTGAAAGAGTAAAATCTATTGTGCAATACGACCACTCAATTGAGGCTTATTAATCATATATTTTAAAGCATCATGGTGGACATGGAAAACAAATTTATAACCAAGAAGATAATGTCAAAACTTTTGTACAGAATAAATCATCCCCAATGCTTCTCTTTCGATTGTTGTATAATTTCTTTCAGCTGCTACCAATTGACGACTTGCATAATAAATAAGGTGATCAAAATTCCGGTCATCTTTCTGGCTTAGTATAGAATCAATCGTGACATTAGATGCATCGACATAAACTTGGAATTGTTTTATCTAACAAGGTGGTACCAATATTAGTATTGAAACCAATTTCTTTTTCAATGTTTCGAATACAATTGTACATTCTTTTATCTAAAATAGACTGGTCCCATCGATTGGTGGTTTCTTCGAGAGATTTGTCAAGGAAAGACATATAAGTGTGAATAGATAAATAAATCATCGATAATAACTGACATGGCCGACAAATGCTCGAATATCTGTAACATTGTCTAGTTGCTTTAATTCTATTATAATCTTTATTTTATCTGGATTTGTAGCAATGCTTGCCATCGAAACTATATGATCCAACAGTTTACCAAAAGGCACACCAAATTGATATTTTTTTAAATTTAAAGAAATTCCATATTTGGCACATTGATTCAAACATTGATCTAGATATTTTAAATGCCTGGCTCTTGTACTAAATGTACAGAAATCATCTAGAAATATTTCCATTGAAATTCGTAGATAATCTTGGAACGCTTGCGACATTATCCTTTGAAATGTAGCTGGTGCATTACAAAGTCCAAACGGCATAACCTTATAGGCAAAAGTCTCCCAATCCATAGTAAAAGTAGTTTTTAATTAATCTTTTTTTACAATTTTAACTTGATTATAACCAAAGAATCCATCAAGGAATGAATAATATTTATGTCCAGTGACAACATCCAATATACTATCCGTGAATGGTAAAGAAAAATAATCCTTCTTGGTAGCCGCATTTAATTTGCAGAAATCTTGACAAATGCAAACTTTTCCATTCTTTTTCGATATCATAACAATTAGTAAAACCCATTCACTGAAAGAAACTGGATAGATAAATCCAACCTCCAAGAGTTTATTCAGTTCTTTTTTTATCATAAGTGAGTATTTTTGATTAAGTTGATGTTGTCTTTGGCATAATGATATAACGTTCTCCTCCAATATAATTCAATGCTCACAAACTTCAGCTGGAATTCCTTTCAAATCACATACGACCATACAAAAGCAGTTTTAGGCATTAAAAAGTAATCCATCCAAATTTTTTTCTCCTTGCCTTTTATACTGTCGTAAATCTAAATGATTTGGAAAGCCTCCCTTGTACCTAAATTAGTTGGTTGACATCGTAGAATTTCAAGAGTCTCTGGAATAATATTCTGCTTAATTTCAAAATCTTTCATAAAATCCAACAAATTAGAACATTCCAACTTCAATTCTATAGCACTAACATGATTAATATCCTGTCTATTCATCCAATATACAATCATATGATCAGAATTGTCAATAACATCTGGAAGAACTAAATACTCTCCTAGTCCCTTGTATTGGTATTTTATTCTAGTGTGCTCGACAACTTGCCTTGTATCAGCATAAATTGGGTCAAGTGCACTAATTTCTTCTTCTGTAGACTCATCTTCACAATCTGACGTGAATTTTTAACTGACAAATTGAATTTCTTTGTGATATTAGACAAGGTACATT